TTCAAACCCCACTCCATCCCCTTCAGTCGGCTATCCTTCAAGACTCCCGCATCCTTTTTCAGGCGTGACGTCTGGCGTATGAACACTGCGTCAGTCAAACCATGAAGGTACGTGTCTGTCGCTAATCTCTGCACCTACACACGGCGCTTCATATCATCCAATCGCCCTCTCTCTTCTTCGAACTCTCCATTCATCATGTCCTTTCCGCCACCTCCAGGTCTCAAGCAAAACCCATCATCGCTTCCTCCACGGCCTCCACCGCCAGCAAGCTCTGCTTCTGCCTCCTACCAGCCAGCATATTCAGCCGCGCCGTCATACGCGTCCGCCAGAACACCCACTGGCGGATATGGCGCAAGCAACAGCACCAACCCACCTCGCGCGGGCGGGTACAGCGCGTTCACAGCATTTCAGCCACGCTCCGTAGCCGCCAGTCAGCCCTACCGTACCAGTAGCCCCGCGGTGTCGACGCCCCCCGTCTCGTCTGCGGGTTATTCTACCCCGACCACTACGTCAGGCTACGGTACCTACTATTCGCAACCTCAGACATCCTACCAGGGCAATGCCTCCTACTACGGCGCCGCGCAGTATAACGATAACGCATACGGACCAACTGTGCCGCAAATCCAGAACCCGTTTGGAAATCCGGGGGATCAGCGCGGCAAGCGCAACGACCCCGGTCTGGATCCCGAAACCGAGGCCCAGATTGCACAGTGGCAGAGCGCATACGTGAACAAGGACGAAGCCCAACCCATTGGCAAAGTGCCCGGTCGTCGCGATGGCGGCCCGGCCATGACCAGCGGTGCGAATACCCCGTCTGCCGGTCCCACCGCCGCTAGCACCCCCGTCTCCGCTCCCGGGCGCTCGGAGCCCGCTCCCAAGACCGTTGTGCGGTCCGGCGGTGGTCAGACCTGGCAGGATCCCACGCTTCTGGAATGGGATCCGGCGCATTTCCGCCTCTTTGTAGGAAACCTCGCGGGCGAGGTCACCGACGATTCTTTGTTCAAGGCGTTTGCTAAATACTCGTCGGTCCAGAAGGCACGCGTCATCCGCGACAAGCGTACGCAGAAGAGCAAGGGATACGGGTTCGTCAGTTTTAGCGATGGCGATGACTATTTCAAGGCCGCCAGGGAAATGCAAGGGAAGTATATCGGATCGCACCCCGTCCTACTTCGTCGCGCTACTACCGAGGTCCGCCCCGTGTCGAACAACAAAAACGGGAAAAAGCACGGTGGCGGCGGGGGCTCGGGTAGTGGTCACGCCGGAGGCAAGGTCAAGCACGACGGTGTGAAGAAGTCTGGAAAGACGAAGGGTGGACTGAAAATTCTCGGTTAAGGTTAGTCCAATGGTTGACTCAGTATGTACATGGACATCTTGAGTTAATGACAATCTGCATGGTGCTCAGACAATTGTCTCTCTAGTACTTACTTACCCTTAGACGTGACTGACCGCTTAGACCTGCGTAGATCTGGGGTTTCTAACTATATAGGAAGATTGTTTGAGCCAAATGGGCAAACAGAGACCAGCCTTCTGTCGAAGCCGGTGAGACCCAACTGGTGGATGAAGCAGAATCGTTCGTCATTCGTGAAGCCAGGAAATGTATCATCAACAGGGAGTAGGAAGTCAAAGGTATTGTACAATCTCAGGACCCCCGGTATAGTATGTGCAACCAGATAAAAATATACGAGCATCAACAAATCAAAGCCAAGACGCCTGCGTGTCGCCATGAAAATATCATCAGGATAAACCAACTCATAAATATGCAAGGGTAATTCATGCCACGTCGTCGAAGGGTGACCATTGGACCTCAACAGATAGTATCGCAGCCGTGGTTGCATAGCACGTAGGTCACCACGTGCGTAGGAAGAGGCAGCTCAAACACGTGCATAAGACATCGGAAGCATCGTAGGAGGTAGTGGAGCGAAATTCGAAAAGATCGGTACGTCGTGAGACATCAAATAAACAAATGGTTTTTCCAAGCGTAACGTCGTGGACCGTCGGTAAGTGCAACAAATCGAAAGATGAGAATTCGTAGAAGAGGAAGAGAGTAGAATAGGTAGATAGGTAGGGAGCATCGTCCGCCCAACCTGTGTCACCCTTCCTCCCCACTTTCTTCGTCGACAGCTCGTTTCCTCGAGAAGATCGAGACGTGGTTTTGCATGGCGTAGATTCCAAACCCGGCAACAGCCAGAATCAGGAACAGGATAATGATGATGATGGCGATGGTGATGTTCTTCTTGACCATATTGGCGGGTATATATATGCCCCGTTTTGAATCTTCAATATAATATAGAAAGAAACTCAATCGGATCGGATAACCACTCCAATGGAACGTGAGGAATGAGGGGACAGAGATCGCCCCTAGATACAGCTGGGGGATGGGATTTGGAACCTCCAGCGACAATTCAAGGGATGTTAAAACAGGAAAGGGAGCATTGCTCGGGACCTCCGCTGTCTTAAGGGACAGAAGGTCGCTGCCCAGCCATGTTGATTTTGAATCCTTTTGCCGGTGGCTGGGCGGGTGAGAGCGTGTTTTGAATGGTGGGGAGTTAGTCCACTGGGAGCTCACCAGTGGGGCGGGCTACGGCTAGCCATTGGGTCACGGGTACTTAAGGTGCCACGCTACTCGTTAGGGCGATCAGGTACCAAGTACTTTATCCCCAGCCTCTGGACTTTTGAGATGGATTTCTGGTAAGATCATATGTCCCAAATATTGGGTTGCTATGTCGGAATTTATTTTATTCGGAGACTTTGTGTCAATTCTACATCATCAATTGAGAATAGTGGCTTCCATTTTGAGTATTCAACACCAACAGACAAGAGTCCCTCAAACTGGCTGTCACTCGGATGCTCGGAGACTGATGGACACTGAGACACAACAAACACACGCAAGAAAGATCAGCTCCTTGATTGCAGCTTGCGCGGATTCTGATATACAACAGTCTTGTTAAAATCTTCAATCAAAGGCAGAGGATCATATCCATGCCCCTCGTGCATCCCGGCGAGTCTCTCAGCCAGTCTTGTATCCTGCTCCTCAAATCTGAAAATCCGTGGCCGCCTGGATAACCGAAATACATAGACAGGAATTGGGCTGGCGACTTCATGGGCAGTCTCGTAGTCATAGTCGGTATTGTTGATATCCACCACAAAATAGGAGTGGCGCCCCGGAAATATATTCGCTGCGAGGAATCGTGTGTGCATGTCGAGCCGATTGTTTCGACGAAATCTTTCACGGTGTTGCGGATTTGGCCCATGATTAGGGCACGGGTTTCTTGTCTATGTTGCTCTCTTCGCTGTTCCATGGTGAGAGCAACAACACTCGCTACTTGAAGGTTGTTTAGAGTAAAATTGACAACGAGGACGATAAGCGGAACTTTGAAACTTGGCCCTTTGTGAGGCCTACCACTATGGGTGGGGGTTCCATGGAAGGGTTTTAATAGAAGTACACAAAGAAAAGTGTTTACAAAGAGCGGTATGGTATGTAGGCTACCTCGGCGGCTGCCTGGTGCTTCTGAGGCTGCTGGAATGCTTATGTACTCAGGTCCAACACTTTGTGTTACCCTAGACTGCTGTCTTTGATACAATCTACTTGAATCTTCCAACTTAATGGGGCTTTCTCTGAAGCCATAGCGAAGGAAATATCTTTGATAGCCCAGTAGTTAGAAAGTCACGAGAAGTGAGAGATGACGTGAGAACATAGTCTCTGACAGGGGTTACAGCCTAAGCTAGGTATTTCGAATGCGTAGCGAGTATATTGAATGATATTCAAGTAAGATGAAGCATTATGTCTCTATCTTGGAGGAGCCGGAGATTAGCCCTTTGGGACAATTTGGGGGCCGAAGTATAATACCCTCCTTAATTAGAATAAAGCAGACGACATACTACCTAGTACCAGGGGAGTTTATCCAATTGCTGACAGCCCCCCCGGGGTTTCAGCTGGATGGAATGAGTCATGCTCCCAGTACACTCTAAAAGCGTGGAGGGTCCCATCTCACTCCTTTGATGAACACATTCGCGGAATACCATCAAATTAAGGTACGTGTCCCTCAATACTCAAGACCCGATCTAATCCAAAAGCCGAAAGGATATCTAATTCAATTATAGAACTTGTTCCTGAATCCAAATTTGCGGACCAGTGATCCAATCCAATCAATTCAATACCATTCAACACTGTTTACCTACCTGTCATCTCAATGACACAGACTCCAGAGGCGATCTTGCATCTAGAAAAGTGTCTCTTACGGCCCCATTGCGAGAGCGATGCCGAAGATGTCTCCAGAGAAGCAAATAATCCACGGATAGCAAAATGGATGACCAATCGGTTTCCCCATCCATATCGTGTCGACGATGCCAAGAAGTGGATGGCGTCTATCAAGTCGCAACCTGAAGTTAACGCCTTCGTCATCTGCCGGAAAGACGACAACAGAGCGATTGGCGGAATTGGTTTAGAGAACCGAACAGACGTGAACTATCGGACAATGGTACTCGGGTATTGGCTGGGGGAAGACCACTGGGGCCAGGGCATTGTAACTGAGGCTGTTACGGCTCTCTCCCAGTGGGCCTTCGAGAAGTTCCCCCACGTGATCAGGTTAGAGGCGAGTACCTACGAGGGGAACGAGGCAAGTGCTGCGGTACTGCAGAAGGCGGGCTATCATTATGAAAGCAGAAGTAGATGCGCGGTTGAGAAGAACGGCGTAGTGATGGATTTGGTGACATACTGCATGTTGAGGGAGTGAAAGAGGTCACATTCAGCCTTTGGGGAAACTATATCAGCAACGTGCATGTGTGATTCGTGCAATGGTGAGTAGTCGGGGGTGGTCTCAATCTCTTGTTATAGACACATGCAGAACTGCGGCATACAGGAATTGGGCAGCAGTCATTGAAGTCTACACGCAGCCACACCATGTTATATCAGATATGTCTCTTGTGAGCATACCTCTAGCTGCTTTGCATCCATGCGGATGCGAAATGTGGCATGTTACGTATATTGACAGTGTTGGGGGATGGACCATTGCCTCGTAGAGTATCAGATAGAGCCTAGACTACGCCACTGAACTGACAACATAGTGAAATAAACGCAGCTGAACCTTCCTGAATGAGAAGGTGAACTGTGTCGATCATGGGTGGTTAGGATCGGGCACATTCTCGGGTGATGACTTCATCATGACAGATGGATCTCCCCGAACCCAACGAATGGTCTCATTACAACGTTTCCCTTGCAGCCCATCAACAGATCGGATATTCAAGAAACGGTTCCGGATCTCGGGATCGCTATGTCCCGAGAGAATTATGTCCACGATGGTCTTCATCTCGGCGGAATCGGGGTTCGGAGCTAACGATATCACCGCGAGGAATTACCATGATGCTGGTCCATATGTAGCACATCTACCAAGTATACCATTATTAATATGTGCACTTGATCATCTCCTGACGTAATTCATGTCAACATTCTTGATTCACTTTCTCAGTCTATATACAACCGTCGCGTTCGAAGCTCTGGAGGACCTGTCGATCTACAAAACTCACCTCTTTCATTCTCCGCACTCCCACGTGGATACACGAGATTCTGCGTTTCCAGGCGGATTACGACGCTCTGCAGCAAGCGGGCACTGTTCAGACTTCGGATGCGCGCACCTGCTCACCAGGTGATCGCACTGCAATGGAGCCCGATCGCGTTGATGGGCACACTATGGACCAAGGGCGGGAGAGCATGGAATTTCAAGATGCAAAGTCACATACATACTCGACCGCTTCCTCGTCCACCGAGAATGACTCAGAATTTGCTCCCATCCGTAGCGACCCTGTCCCTCTGCAGGAGTCGGCGAGCCGGCCTCCCATCGGCGAGAGAAAGTCCTCGCTCTCCAGACCACTCACAGAAGATGACATTGTGCGCTCTCTAACCCGCCGCCGTACTGCCGGGTCTGGTATGAGCGATGATGGGGAGGATCTAGCTCAAATCGCGCGGCTGATCTCTCGCATGTTTGGTCAAGACCGGAAGGCTCATTCAAATGAAGAGAAAACCAGACACCTGGGAGTTGTATGGAAAAGCTTGACGGTCAAGGGCGTTGGCCTCGGGTCCGCCATTCAAATGACGAATTCTGATCTTTTCCTGGGGATCCCGCGGATGATCAAGAACTTTATATCCCGAGGCCGAAGCAAACCAGTCTTGCGAACCATTCTGGATGATTTTACGGTAGGCGCACTCCGTATTCTTGCATACCGAGCTTCGAAGACTGATATCCTGATCACTAGGGATGTGTACGACCGGGTGAGATGCTTCTTGTCCTTGGACGGCCTGGGTCTGGATGTTCGACCTTCCTCAAGGTGATTGGGAACCAGAGATGGGGATACAAGAGCGTGGATGGGGATATAAAGTACGGGGGAACAGATGCAGAGACTATGGCCAAGAACTATCGCTCTGAAGGTATCTGACCCTGGTATATGGTGAAGCAACGCGTGCTGACAGCTCCAGTCCTATACAACCCCGAGGATGATCTACACTACGCAACATTGACCGTGAAAGACACTCTGATGTTCGCATTGAAGACCCGAACCCCAGATCAAGAATCTCGACTTCCCGGCGAATCTCGAAAAGCATACCAGGAGACGTTCTTATCGACCATCGCCAAGCTATTTTGGATTGAACATGCACTTGGTACGAGGGTGGGCAATGAATTGATCCGGGGAATCTCAGGAGGAGAGAAGAAGCGTGTGTCCATTGGAGAAGCCCTGGTGACGAAAGCTAGTACGCAATGTTGGGATAACTCAACCAGGGGTTTGGATGCAAGCACTGCGCTCGAATACGTCCAGAGTCTCCGGAGTTTGACCGATATGGCGAATGCGTCGACGCTGGTGGCACTCTATCAAGCGTCCGAGAACCTTTACAATCTTTTTGACAAGGTCATCCTCATCGAAGATGGCAAATGCGCGTACTTCGGGCCGACTCAAAATGCAAAAGCATACTTCGAGCGCTTGGGCTTTGAGTGTCCCCCTCGATGGACGACTCCCGACTTTTTAACATCCGTCAGTGATCCAAACGCCCGACGTGTCCGAAAGGGCTGGGAAGACCGGATTCCTCGTTCTGCAGAAGACTTTCAAAACGTCTACCGCAAAAGCGAGATCCAAAAAGGTGTGATGGCCGATATAGAAGATTTTGAACGAGAGCTCGAATCGCAGGAAGAGGAGCGCGAAGCGATAAGAAAGAGTACACCGAAGAAGAACTATACGGTGCCTTTCCATCAGCAAGTCCTCATTCTCACCGAACGACAGTTCAAGATTATGTACGGTGATAGACAAACACTTATCGGGAAATGGTCACTCTTGGTCTTCCAGGCTCTCATCATCGGAAGTTTGTTCTACAATCTGCCGGAGACAAGGTAAGGCAAACAGAATTGTCTCGGTTAAGGAATGTTTCTTATACAGTACAGTTCCGGTGTGTTTACTCGAGGCGGAGTCATGTTCTTCATCCTCCTGTTCAACTCCCTCCTTGCCATGGCGGAGCTTACGGCTTTCTTTGATAGCCAACCAATCATCCTTAAGCATAAGAGCTTGTGAGCACTCCTGTATAGCCCCCAGAATCGCATTTGGTAGCTGACCTGACCAGTTCTTTCTATCGTCCATCGGCTTTCGCATTGGCGCAAGTGTTTGTCGATATACCAGTGATCTTCATTCAAGTCACGCTGTTTGAATTGGTTGTCTATTTGTATGGTTGCTAGAACTGTGAAATATCTTGTCTGAAATGCTAACATCTGTCAGCATGTCCAACCTTTCACGGACCCCGTCCCAATTCTTTATCAATTTTCTGTTCATCTTCACCCTTACACTGACAATGTATGCTTTTTTCCGAACTATCGGTGCTCTTTGCGGCTCGCTTGATGTTGGTATGTTGAAGTGATTTCCATCCCAGGCGCTTGTACTGACTGGTAAATTTAGCAACTCGCCTGACTGGAGTTGCAATTCAAGCTCTCGTGGTCTATACGGGTATGTTTCAACTCTGGACTTCCTTGTCTACAACTAACAGACATCCCCACCAGGCTATCTTATTCCCCCGTGGAAAATGCGCCCATGGCTCAAGTGGCTGATCTGGATTAACCCAGTTCAGTATGCTTTCGAAGGCGTAATGTCCAACGAGTTCTACAATTTGGATATCCAATGTGAACAGCAGAGCATTGTTCCACAAGGCCCCAATGCAGTACCTGGTCATCAGACGTGCGCACTGCAAGGGAGTAAACCCGACCAACTGGTGGTTCAAGGAGCCAGCTACATAAAGGCTGCTTATACCTATAGCCGCTCTCATCTGTGGCGGAACTTTGGGATTATACTCGGATGGCTGATTTTCTTCATCGCAATGACCATGATAGGGATGGAAATACAGAAACCGAACAAAGGTGGAAGCTCTGTGACTATCTTCAAGAGAGGACAGGCGCCGAAGGCTGTCGAAAAAGCGATCGAGAAGCAGAAGACTCCGGAAGATGAGGAGATGGGAAAAAAGGAAAACAGTTCCAGCGCTGACTACGAAGGGAGTTCGAATGATTCCGAGGATGTGCAAATTGCGCGAAGCACGTCCGTCTTCACTTGGAAGGATGTCAACTATGTTATCCCGTATGGCGGTGGAAAGAAGCAACTTTTGAAGGATGTCCAAGGCTATGTCAAACCTGGTCGGCTCACTGCCCTGATGGGTGCTTCTGGAGCTGGGTCAGTCCCTTCAGCCCTGGCCTTGTCTAGCTCTACTGACCAGATCGTGACAGAAAAACCACACTTTTGAACGCCCTCGCGCAGAGAATCGACTTCGGCGTCATCACCGGTTCTTTTCTAGTGGACGGGAAGTGAGTCTTCCACCTGCCTCTTTACCTCAATCGTCGCTGACGGTTCTAGGCCACTTCCCAAGAGCTTCCAGCGGGCAACAGGCTTCGCCGAGCAGATGGACATTCATGAGCCTACTGCCACGGTGTTGGAGTCACTCCGGTTTTCGGCGCTTCTCCGCCAACCAAAGGAGGTTCCTATCCAAGAGAAGTACGACTACTGCGAGAAGATCATTGACTTGCTGGAGATGAGATCCATAGCAGGAGCTGTGATAGGATCTAGTGGAGGCGGACTGAATCAAGAGCAGCGCAAACGACTCACCATCGCGGTTGAACTTGCAAGCAAGCCACAGCTATTGCTCTTCCTGGACGAGCCTACGTCTGGCCTTGACTCATTGGCCGCTTTCAACATTGTGCGGTTCCTTCGACGGCTGGCAGACGCCGGACAAGCAATCTTGTGCACTATCCATCAGCCGTCGGCTGTGCTTTTCGAGCAGTTCGACGACCTGCTACTGCTGCAGAACGGCGGTCAAGTGGTCTACAATGGGGAGCTGGGATCTGATTCTAGCAAGATGATCAGCTATTTTGAGAAGAACGGCGGCAAGAAGTGTCCGCCTCGTGCGAATCCTGCAGAGGTATTCAATCCTGTATCCCATTCTCGCTTGCCTTTTCTAAAGCAACGTCTCTAGTACATGCTCGAGGTCATTGGCGCCGGAAACCCAGACTACAAAGGGCAGAACTGGGCCGACGTGTGGGCCAATTCGGAAGAGTGTAAGCAGCTCTCACAGGAGATTGACAACATCATCGAAACACGCCGCGACAAGGCCGACACGGGAAAAGAGGACGATAATCGTGAGTACGCGATGCCCGTCATGGTGCAGGTTTGGACCGTGTCGAAGCGTGCCTTTGTCGCCTACTGGAGGAACCCGCAATACGCCCTGGTATGTGTGCACAGCTAATTCCACATTAACACAACTGACAAACCCTAGGGCAAGTTCATGCTTCACATCTTCACCGGTCTCTTCAACACCTTCACTTTCTGGCACCTGAAAAACAGTTACATCGACATGCAATCGCGCCTCTTCTCCATCTTCATGACACTCACCATTGCCCCACCGCTCATCCAGCAGCTGCAGCCCCAATTCCTTCATTTTCGCAACCTCTACGAATCCCGCGAGGCCAAAGCCAAGATCTACTCGTGGGTCGCCTTCGTGACAAGCGCCATCCTCCCGGAGCTGCCCTACGCCGTCGTCGCCGGGTCTCTCTACTTCAACTGCTGGTACTGGGGCCTCTGGTTCCCGCGTGACTCGTTCACCTCCGGCCTCACCTGGATGTTCGTCATGCTGTACGAGATGTTCTACATCGGGCTGGGCCAGTTCATCTCGGCGTTCTCGCCGAACGAGCTGCTCGCCTCGCTGCTCGTCCCGACCTTCTTCACCTTCGTCATCAGCTTCTGCGGTGTCGTCGTGCCCTACGCCGCGATGGTGCATTTCTGGCGCTCCTGGATGTACTGGCTCACCCCGCTCAAGTACCTCGTCGAGGGCATGCTGAGCATCGTCATCCATGGCATCCCTGTCTCCTGCGTCGAGCGCGAGGAGTCCTTCTTCAGTCCGCCGCCCGGGTCGAACTGCCAGGAGTATGCCGCGGACTTTGCGCAGCAGGCGGGTGGCTATGTCCGTGACGCGGGGAATGGGCTCTGCGCATACTGCCAGTATTCGAGTGGGGATGCGTTTGTAGGTGGTCTTGTGCTAATTCTGGGGGCTTCAGTGCTGACGTCTTCGCAGGGCAAATCGTTTAATGTGTTCTACAAGAATAAATGGCGGGATTATGTGAGTGTTTAAACCTCTGACAGACGTTGTAGGACGTGATCGGCTAACGCTGTGGTCAGGGCGTGGTCTGGGCCTATGTGCTTTTCAATTTCGCTGCGGTTTATGCATTCTCCTGGCTCTATCTACACGGTGTTGGGGATATCAAACGGAGGCTCAGCGCGAAAAGAACAAAAAGACCTAAAAAGAATTAAGCTGTCAGACAGCGTTGGTATACGAGATCATATGGTAAGTGTTTTTGATGGCGTTTCGGGACAGAAATATATGTACATCAATTAGGCAAACGACGTCTCAGTCCCCACAGGCGAACAGCTATTTCAGGAGTAATATCACATCTAGGTAATAATATTTAAGAAACGAGAATATAGACATATTTCGTGTCTATGCTCCATCAGGCGGAGGGGAGGACTGCTCCGCTGTCTGTGGTGGATTCCACACCCGAGGGATACCGCTCGGAGATGAGGCCGAAGCCCCTTCAGCGCTGCTAGAGGTATTGCCGGCGTTGTGGCCGTTCATAAGACGCGGACGTTTGGCTGGCGGCCCCGCGTTGGGGCTCTGGTGTCCATCCTGCTGCTGGAGGTAGGGAGAGTTATGCTGGCTCGAGGGCGCCGACGGACCGCCTGTCTGGGACGGGGATTGGACCGAGGGGCTGACAGCCGCTGGGGGTTGCAGGATTCTCGGTCTGGATGGGTTCGCCGAGTCCTCTCCGGTGCGATGTCTTGCGTCTGTGTCATCCACAATCGGGCTGGTATAACCGAGGCCAATGCGGCCCATGCTCTTATCATGCATCACCACGCGTTTCCACTTGGCCACCACACTGTCGTAGTCCCAGCGATCCGAATCGGGACTGATCTGGCTCTCCTTTGCATCCAACTCGCGCGCGACGTCTCGCGGCAACGGCAGCGTATCTGGAGGGAAAAGCGCAAACTCCCGGGGCCATTGACACGAGCCCAGCCTTTCGACCTGAGCGCGGAGCTGGTTCGCTTCCTGCTGCACCCGAGCGAGCTGGTCGTCCAGGCTTTTACGCTTCTCGATTTCCCGGGCGAACGCGCGAGTGATTTCGAGTTGCCAGGCGTCCCGTCTCGTGTCGGCGTGTAGCGACGCCCAGTGTTTGAATGCCAGATCCAGGTGTCTCGAGCTAATCTCTTCATGCTGCTGAGCGCTTTTCGAGATCATGCTGGAATCGAGTCCCGCCCTATTGGACTGAGTGGTAGTCGATGATGATTCAGCTGAGAGCTGATCTGACTGCCACTGGTCGATCTTCGCGCGAAGCGCCTGTCGAACAATCTCAACATGTTCTATGCCTGGGGGCTGGAGCGGAAACGATGTGGTTGACGGGAAAGGGTTCGTCGCGAACAGGCTGGGAGGAGGTGGCAGTAACTGCAGGCAGAGCGAAGGGAACGTCTGAGACTGGATATCAAAGTCGAACGGAGATACACGCGGGCGCAACCGGGAACTATTGACGAATCGTGAGATCTTCATATTTCGCGAGGAATCCGAACAAGGAGTAAGGCAAATGACTCACGTGGCAGCTTTAATGTTGTCCAGCACCTCCCGCAGCGCCAGCTCTAGCGCGCGCGTAGTGTCTGGATTGTTCGCAGTCGCGCCTCGGCTCGCGTAGTCCGGGAGATTCAGAGAGCCAGTTCGGGACTGCGAAGAGGCGAATCTGGAGCCCAGGTTGTCCTGGGCTTGACTAGGATTAGGTATATCGTTGATGACACCGGTCGCATGCCATGTCGGGGTATTGAACATCATCCGCACGCCGTCCCTCGACTTCCCACTGGATTCACCAGCATTGTATGCATCCAGATGGCCCTTTCCCGTGGCGCGTTCAGGGGTGTCGCGCTTCGCCGACGAGGTCCGAGCCTGTCGACGGGTGATGCCACTCCGAATGCGCCGGATCTCCTCGACGTCATGAACACCATCGGGCTTCTTCTTGAAAAGAAACTGATCGAGATGGCGACCAAGCGAAGAGGACGTGAAGGCCTGGTGGCAGTACTGACATTTGCGGTCTTTAATGGCCGGGTTTTTCGCCGCACTGGTCTGCGTGTTATTTTCGTCGGCTCCGGCAGAGCCTTCCGGAGTGTTGATGATGGCTGGACGTGGGGTGTTTTCTTCCATGTTTCACGGGAGACGCGAGGGAGTGGTTGCTGCAGGCAGAGCTGGCGTCACGGTAGGGGGATACGGTAGGGGGAGAACGCGTTCAGAGAAACACAAGCAACAGCATGCACACGATAGGAGGTCTGCAGGTCAATGCATGACAAGACGGGTCGCGTATGATGGGAGGAGGGATGCGACTATCGACAGAAGAAGCGAGGAGTTGAAGAGAGTAAGGAGAGGAGAAGTGGAGGTGGAGGAGGAAGAAGAGGGGGAGAAGAGAGAGAGAGAGAGAGAGAGAGAAAAGAGGGCGAGAGGAGAAAAGAAGGTGACGATCGATCGCAGGGCCGCCAAGCTTTGCGGGTGGAGACCCTGAGCTTCTGAGAGAGAGAGTCTCGATGCAACATCACCCCTCCATACATGGCAATCAGTTACGGCTATAGATTCCTCGTGCTGGTGCATCATACTGGACGTTGCTCTATTGAGTCTATGCAATGCACTCCTGCCTGCGTTGTGACCTGTAGCTGCATAGAAGAATGCTCCGATAGTCCTGGAGTACATTGAACACCCGACTCTCCGCTGATAGATACTATGGCTCCTCCAGCTCATGCCTTCTTCACCTGCTCCCCAATATACTCCGCCAGCGTCAGCATCTTCTCCTCCTGGAATCGACGTCCGATCAGTTGAAGTCCAGCCGGAGCTCCATCGTAAGCTTCTGCGTCGTCTTTCCACATGTCAGTAACGACTCACAGCGCACTGTCCGGGCCGAATGTACTTACAGTCACCTTGCACCTTCCGGTCTAGGTCGCTCAGGAACTCAATGCCAGAAGGCGGCACATCCACGGTTTTATCGGCATTGGTCACGGGGAATGCCACACTTGTATAGTCCAGAACGTTGATGATGGCGGTATATCCGACGTGGTCATACTTGGTCGGGATAACAGCGGCGTGTGGCGCACATGGGCTGATCACTCCATCGACCGGTCGTCCCGTACCAGTCAGCTCCGCCGTGCTGTTCCAGTAATCCATGTAAAGCTTCTGGTATTCTCGCTTCGCCACATTGAGAGCAGCAATGTCCGAGGCCGTCTTCTCGTCACCATGTTCAATAAGAATTTGAGGCGCCCCTTCTTCGCCCGACAATCCATATTGATACCGCGCATCTTTTCCTCCGTCGAGACTGTAGGTCCTGGACTACTCTAGTTAATACCGGCGTGATCATGGAGAATGGAATGTATACGTACGGCGAGGTCATAACCCATGGTCCAAGAGGGTGGTTTCCACTCGATAACCTGACGCGATATCAGCATGTTTTTCTCTTACAACAGCACCACGGTTTCTTACATTATGCCCAAGTTTCTTTAGTGTCTGCTCGACAATCTTCAAGGCTCTTGCGATGGGTGGGTGAGGATGGACGATTCCATCGTGATACACGATCCCAAAAGCAAGCTTAGAAGCACCAGGTGTCGATTGTTCAATCAACGTACGGGTCTCTTCCTCCATCTCATCACGCCAGGGCAGCTCCGTCACGAGTGGATCATAATACCACGGTCGCTGGCTGAGCACCGCCTTGAAGAGCAGCTTCAGCGAGCCCGCCGATGCGGCCAACGGTCCAATAACGGAGAGAATGGTATTCTGTCCATCCATGGAGTTTGCAGCACCTTCATATGGTATCCGCCCCGAAGAAGGCCGTAATCCATATAGACCGTTGAAGGAAGCAGGGATGCGGACGCTACCCCCAATATCAGTACCAAATCCGGCCGGCGACCCCTTCAGTGCAATCAGGGCCCCTTCACCCCCAGAGCTTCCTCCACAAGAAAGCAGTCGGTTCTTCGGGTTCTTCGTATACGTGATGATATTGTTCACGGTTTCCCCACACATGAGCGTAGACGGTACCGACGTCTTGCAATACAAGACCGCCCCGAGGCTACGGAGTTCGCGGACCAGTTCACTTTCAAAGATGCCCCGTCTTGGGTCGTTTTTGATTCCCTGGAACGTGCCGATCCAACCAACATACCCCATGGTGGTTTCGACTCCTTTGACATGGAACTGGTCCTTCAAGCTGACTGGAAGACCATGGAGGGGCCCGCTGGGTCTCTTGTGTTCGGCGTAATAGGCGTCCAGACGCTTCGCATCTTCGATGGCTGCATCGAAGAAGATCTCATGCAGACAGCTCACCTATGCGATTCAATGAGTTTCCTAATAGGTTTAGACTGGCTGGAGGAGGAGTTACCAATTGATGCGCAAGAGCAGCTCGATGACAGAATGCCTCTGTAACCTCTAGTGCGGTCCATTGCCCCGAGGTTGTCTTCTCTGCGATGCCCACTGCATCGGTCTCGGTGACTTCTATCTCTCGTGGGGTCAGGAACTGCTGTATGTAAGGCCCAGTGACATCGCGAAGCTCCTGCGGAGGTGGAATGGGGTTATTGATTCGCCACTTGGGAGGGATGGCGTCTAGAATGGATTGTCTCTTGGCCGCTGCTGCCTCCTTCCAGGGGATTGCCGTCATCTTGTTGTAGCTATTGAAATTATCTGGGGGATTGTGTACGATGAGATGTTGGTGAGGAAGAGGGGTAGGGGTTTCTCCGACGCAAAGTCTCCAAATATATACTTCTCCAACGCAAACTTGGAACCTCCGTCCGTTGCCGACTGGGGCGGGGGATTCTCAGGCGCTGGATGCGACTTTGGGAGTGGTCTTCATTATTAAGGCATCCTTGGCGATGTTATCTTGAAGGAGCCATTCAACGACCATCTTGGGTGGGGGTTTTTTGGAGGTTTTTGGAGTCTTTTGATAAGGACGGGAAACACCAGGGGATCAACCATACACCTAGAGACCTTACTGGTGCCTGATCTGATAATGATACGAGAATTGGAGAAGAGATCCTTCGGGTTGAATTTTCCCTGTGCTGGTCTGAATTCCGCTAATTCCGCTGTAGTTGTATATCTTAGCACTTCCGCATGTGTACGATATCGTAGGGTCATCCGGAGAATGCAGGATAGTTTGATAGTCAATCCTAGCCCAGCTATAGTTCAATCACAGTCATCCGATACAGACGCAAGGCCCGATCCAGGAGGAAGAGAAGATAGTCAATCTGCATGGTGCCTTGCAGTGCTTGTGCTGGAGATCGATAGTAAATGCTCCGACGATGGCCAGGTCAGGTGTGGACGCGCTCACCGCCTTCCGTTTGACGCGCGGGCTTTTTTGTTTGTGTATTTCCTCTTGTTGATGTTGACCGCCTTCGCTCCCCCACCAACAAGTACCACCAGGGATAAAACCATTCTTTTGCTTCATCCATTCGTTCCCTGCCTTTTCTTGCTGGATTCTGTTCTCGAGTGCTCGGGTTTCGACTCATCTTCAGTCTACGTCGTCGATTGCGCCCGGTATATCCCAAGATCAGCGACTTTCCCCTCTGAGCACGCCTGGACGCCAACCAAACTTCCCTGTTGTTTTTCCTGTCCTCGCTTCTTCCCCGGGCAACACCACGGCGACCCCTGTGACTTGCCATTCGCATTCCGCTCAGTCCAGCGCCTCGTTGTCTCGGACCATCGTCCCCCTGAATCCCTCCTTTGACGGAGAATTTTGTCGTGTGTGATCTTGGTGAACAGAGAAGCCGCGACCCTTTTGCCGCCATGGATAACTACCAGAAGATCGAGAAAATCGGAGAGGGTGCGTTCTTGAAACACTCCCAAGATCTTGATTGGGTCAATTCCTTTGGCTATGTTGATCACTGGGCCTGAATCGGTCGAACTAACATCACCGTGCTCTCTGATAGGAACCTATGGTGTCGTTTACAAGGCCCGTGAACTCACCCATCCCAACCGTATTGTCGCCCTGAAAAAGATTCGTCTGGAGGCGGAAGATGAGGGTGTCCCTAGCACCGCCATTCGGGAGATCTCGCTGTTGAAGGAAATGAACGATCCCAACATTGTCCGACTGTTCAACATCGTCCATGCCGACGGCCACAAACTCTACCTCGTCTTCGAATTCCTTGACCTCGATCTGAAGAAGTATATGGAAGCTCTTCCGGTGAGTGAAGGTGGCCGTGGAAAGGCCCTACCGGATGGTTCGACTCTGAGCAAGGACATGGGACTTGGGGATGCCATGGTCAAGAAGTTTATGGCCCAATTGATCGAGGGAATCCGGTATTGCCACAGCCACCGTATCCTGCATCGCGACCTGAAGCCTCAGAACCTTCTGATCGATCGAGACGGAAACTTGAAGCTGGCCGATTTTGGTCTCGCCCGGGCATTCGGTGTTCCTCTCCGCACCTATACCCACGAGGTACGTTGAATATCTTTGTTATGTTAGTCGACCGCTAACAGCGATTCAGGTGGTTACGCTGTGGTATCGCTCCCCTGAGATCCTCCTGGGTGGACGCCAGTACTCTACCGGGGTTGACATGTGGTCTGTTGGTGCGATCTTCGCGGAGATGTGCACGCGGAAGCCACTGTTCCCCGGAGACTCTGAAATCGACGAGATCTTTAAGATTTTCCGGTACGATCTCCCATTGCTCTTCCATACGATAACAAACCCTAATCATCTTGTCCAATAGTCTTCTCGGTACTCCGGACGAAAACACTTGGCCTGGAGTCACCTCCTTCCCCGATTACAAGTCCACATTCCCGAAGTGGAAGCGGGAAGAAACCCGTGCGCTCGTCCCTGGCCTCGAAGAGGATGGGCTCGACCTTCTGGATGCTCTCCTTGAGTACGATCCTGCTAGGCGCATTTCGGCTAAGCAGGCCTGCATGCATCCTTACTTTAAACATGGAAGCTCCTACTACTCCGGACGTGGCCGCAAAAACGGATTCCACTAAGCACGCACACTCATGAGGTTTCCTTTGCGTTCTTTCTTACGTGTAATGTATTTATGTGAATGGTCCTGGCACCCTCCATTGGCATCGGGGCATCTGACTGCACAATCCATGTCCCTTTGTCTCCCGGCCCATGGCCGGCCTCGGGTTCATTCCCAACGCTCGACAGTTGGTGTGCCGGTGCAGCACTTACGTTTGTTTCAATTTTTTTTTGTCGATGGCGTTGAGCGGAGTCATTTGGAAGGAGATTAGGCCATACTGGATATTCGACGGAGTGTTTTGAATTCTACGTTACATACCCCTTTGCGTCAGTGTCGTTGTAAGAGGCCCAAACAAGCGCATAGACCAGAGTAGATTCTTTGTCTTTTTCGGCGACACAGCATGTTCTATCTATAACTCTTGTGCGACCTGCATCGGTCGACAGGGGCTTTGTTACACCAGATTCCCTGGTTTTTGTTTTTGCCAGAACCGTTCGGCTGGGGCCATAAGCATGAACTTCCAACACAGCCTCAGGCCAACAAGCCCAATGCGGCAACGATGGTCCGGGGGCCAATTCAACTCTTACTCTTCAGCCCAGTTCAGTCTCACTCTCGCAAACTCACGCCATTCACCGTCTGGACACCGGCCCATTCACCAGGCTCGTATTCCCCATGCACCTGGGGCCGCCATGCTTACGCCCGTTATGACTACTCCGTCTCGGCACCCCTGCAGCCAGTCAGCACGGGAATATGTCACGATCAGCTGAAAAGGGATCAATAACGGCCAGTCTTAGTTCGTCGTTAGCACCGACTAAGAGGGTCCGCTAAATTTCCCACACCCAAGCGTGCAACCCTGTCAGCGTGATGAGTCAAGGCGTGTCCCCAGCAGAGTTCAAGCGAATACTGAACATGGCTGTCATTCGCATGTCGTGGGTCCGGCTGAGACGCGGCCACAGAACTATGTATCTGCAGTGCATACTCCCTCCATACATACCGGGGCTTATCGCGAGCCTTGCATGTAAGGCGTCCGCCCGAGCGGGGAACGGTTAGAGCGACCACGCGCCTCCAAGTCAGCCTATTGGCCCCATTCCCGGTTGTTCAGGTGCTGGAGGAGGGGGATTTTGCGGTTCCTACAGCTGGAACGGTCTAGAGGGTCTGATTTGCTGACTCGGGGATGCCGAATCCAAGCCGTCGGAATTCGCTAGACTTTTTTATTTAAGAGCGATGGGCGACGCTCGTCACCGTCGACCATCGTCAAAAGTTTCTTTCTTTCCGACGACCAGTTGGTGAAGCCAGTTCGCGACATCCAGATGAGCTACTTAGGCATGGACCTTGACGACGACCTCGCCGAGATGGCATTTACCACCCCTCCATTGTCATCCCGCTCGGACTGCCGTATGTCGCAAAAGGCCAAGCAGACTCCCCAGGACACCCTGCGCCAGTTCTGGGATCAGTTCACCACCAAGTTCCCTGGCAAGGTCTACACCGTACTCCCCGATAACCCCTATGCGCGGGCCAAGGCCTCCCGCATCCCCAAGGGCGTCGTACAGGCCCAGGATGCCGGCAAGTCCTATGAGCAAGCGTCGGGGGAGTGTAAGCGCGCCGTGGAGCGCATCGTGAAGGAATGCCAGCGACTCAACCAGAAGTACACCGATCCGCACTTCGATATCGAGGTCGATCTGAAATCGGGGCGGAGAGATTACCTCGATGGCTTGAATAAGAAGAACTTGGAGATGCTCCCGCGCGGAGTAAAGAGAGTGACCGTGAGTTGTGCCCATGACAGACATGCAATGGTCGTGAATTGACAGTGTACGCTTTGTAGGAAATCTTTGAGAACCCGCAGTTCTTTGTCAACGGGCCGACGGCGTCGGATGTGCGACAGGGTCGCGACGGCGACTGTTGGTTCATGGCTGCGCTGTGTACGATGGGCAATAAGGAAGAGTTGATTGAAAAGATATGTGTTGCCCGTGACGAGAAGGTGGGAGTATATGGATTTGTCTTCTATCGAGGTAGGCAACCGGGCACTTGACATTAATACATGGCTGATGCTGACATTTGCAGATGGCGATTGGCAGCAATGCATTGTGGACGACAAATTGTACCTGCGGGCAGCAGATTATGATGAGTCGGTGGAAGAACGACCGGTCTGGGACAACATCACGCGGAACGACACTGAAGAAGAATACCGTCGCGTCTGGCAGACTGGCTCTCGAGCCCTGTACTTCGCCCAGTGTGTGGACGAAAACGAAACGTGGTTGCCGCTACTCGAAAAGGCCTTTGCAAAGGCCCACGGTGACTACACGGCCATTGAAGGGGGCTTCGTGGGGTAGGCCACGCAACTTCTCTTCAGCCATGCACACATGCTGACTCAATTGTAGGGAGGCAATTGAGGACCTCACCGGCGGTGTCACGTCGGACATCCTAACGAGCAACATCCTGGACAAGGACAAGTTCTGGGAGAATGAGCTCATGAAAGTGAACAAGGATTTCCTGTTCGGCTGTGGTACTGGGTTGTTTTCCAACTGGCTGGATCCAAAGTATAATGGTCCGAAAGATAGGACAGGAATCGCCGAGAACCATTCCTACTCAATCATGGAAGCCAGAGAAATTGAAGGACACCGACTTCTCCGACTGAGGTGAGTTCCCTAGGCTCTGTTGTGACTGGCGTCCAGGCTCACCAATGAAGGAATCCCTGGGGCAAGAAAGAATGGAGCGGAGCCTGGTCAGATGGATCCGAACAGTGGACACCCGAGTGGATGAGGAAGCTGGGCCATAAGTTTGGCAACGACGGTGTAAGTGGTGTCTACTCTGAAGCATCCGTCACAAGCACTAATGCAGCAGGGACTAGTTCTTCTGGATCTCCTACAACGATCTTCTCAAAAAGTATCAACACCTCGACCGAACTCGTCTTTTTGGGCCTGAATGGACAGTCACCCAGCAGTGGACAAGTCTGAATATTCCCTGGGCCGCAGGATATCATGGGACGAAATTCATGATGAACGTCACGAAGCGTGGCCCCAAGGTCATTGTGCTCTCTCAGGTAATCGCCTTCTCCGATGTCTTATACTGCCATCGTCACTAACAAATGATAGCTCGACTCGCGTTATTTCAGAGGATTGGCAGATGAATATAGCTTCAAACTGAAGTTTCGAATTCAGAAAGAAGGCGAGAATGACTACGTGGTGCGCAGCAACAGCGCCCTCGACCATTTCCGCACGCGTTCGGTGAACGCAGAAGTCGATGACCTCGAGCCCGGACGCTATCACGTCCTTTTGAAGGTCACTGCGGAGCGATACGATGCCGAATCTACCGAGGACGTGGTCAGGAGCCTGGCGCCCATTAAGCGGGAGAAACTCGTCCAAATCGGGCTTTCGTATGACCTCGCCCACGCCAAAGGTTTGGTGATCGAGACCGACAAGGAAAAGAAAGCTCGGGAGGAGTACGAGCGGCATCGCAAAAATCAGGAGCGTCAGAAGCTGAAGCACGAAACAAGACGGAGGCTGGAGAAAGAATGGATCCGGGAGCGCAAGATGTCCGCGCGGAAACAAAGAATGACCGAAAAGCTTGCTGCGAAGAGGCACAACTCCAGGGGCACTCTAGCGGATCACAGAAATGGCGGTCCTCCACCTGCTGAGCAGATCCTCCCTGATGGCCCCGTACAATCGCCATCGGATATTGCCCAGGGCCAAAACGGCAACGGCCCCGACGCCGATGCCTCGAACAGACCCCGGATTCCTACCATCCAGCTCGAAAGAGACCACCACTCGGACTCGGGAGCCCGGAAGCGAAAGCGTCTGCTGCAATCCAGCCTTGATACGTCCTGTTCCACTCACTCCTCATACTATGAGCAAGCGAAGCAGAATGGGTTCCTGGAGGGATTCGAGTTTGACTCAGACCTTGATATGCCTCCGGAGGAGCCGTCGGAGATCAAGACTCCTCGCATTGGAACGGGCATGTCACTCGGGGAGACCAACAGCGACCCCTGGAATGCAGTCTGTGTGGTGGGTCTGCGAGTATACTCCAAGGATACGGGGCTGTCGCTGGAGGTTATCCGTCCTCTGCCTGATGATGGTGTCGAGGCCGCTCTTGATATGGACGACCCGGCAGCGAGTGCGACTTCTCCCAAGTTTTCATTTCCCCGGAAGCCTTTTTTCTAGCCGGGCACGGGACGTCTGATCTTGGATAGATGGCGGGTTTAGAGTGTTTTATTATCTTTCGGTTTTCCGTCTAAAATGCTGTGGTGTTGATTGCTGTCATTGTTTCCTCTTTTCTAAATAGTATACGACTGACATGACCTATCTTTGGTTTATAAATATACGATTTAATCATATCGTCAAAATTGACAGAAAGGTTCCGCTATTCGAATTTATAATGGAAAGTATGGGCGACCTTTGACTAGATCATATCATATATGCCTGAGGGTGTCGAGAGCGAGGATTTCTTCATGTCCATCTGGTCTAGAAGGGCATCCGCATGCGCGATTTCCAATCTTTCCTTATCAATTCATTTAACGTCATTTCTTCATCAATCGTCTCCGCAAGCTATGGAACCGACACCGTACAATGCCCAAAGAAGACCGCCGAGAGATAAACACAGTAGAACGCTCAAGCAGCAAACTCCCGCCGTCACCAAAGTAAGCCCGTATAAGATCTTCAGTTTTCCTCCTTTTGATCCATCTCAATTCGAGCCAAAATTTCCGGATCCTCGCGAAACGCATCGCCATGGACCATATCCTGCGCAAAGGACAAGTCCCGCTCCACCAACCCACCCGGCGCACCAGGGGTGGGCTTCGACCCGCCAAAAACCCTTGCAAGAAACCGCATAAACGCCATCAGGACCCTGACTCTGGACGCATCCGACTGGTCGGGCACATTGCGGAGCGACTCGGCGAGGATACCGGGCGCATAGTAGGGCAGCACTGCGACGCCGTCGTCGACGCCATCGACGTTCAACCCATTGACCAGATCCTCGCGCGACGCGGCATCCAGCGCCTGCAGCGCCTCGTGGAACAAGCGCGCGTGCTCCTTGTCCGCGACGCGCCCCATACAGAACAGGCGGAGCAAGGCGCGGTCCTGGGCGGAGGCAGGCGAGAGGCGCGCGTAGCCGGCGGCGTGCAGGACGTCGGCGCGGTAGGAAAGGATGCGGTCGTAGCAGGCGCGCGGAGTGGGGATGTGGCCCTTGCGGAAGGCGTCGAGGATGGTCAGGGTTTCCATGTAGGGCTGGAAGACGGGCTCGGTCATGACGACGCAGCCGCGGGGGTCGCGGTGGGCGGCGGCGCCGGCGACGTCGAGGAGGGTGACGACGGCGCGGATGCTGAAGCCGTCTGGCTGGTTGGGGTCGTCGCGGAGGATGGTCAGGCTGGCCGGGGCGGTCTCGGCCTGGACGAGCTGGGCGATGTTGAGGCGCGAGCCGAGCTCCAGGTTGTGGAGGACGGCGGCTTGGTTGGATGGGGGTAGGGTGTTCAGTGCGGGGACGAGGCCTGCTTGCGCGGCGGCCAGGACGAGGCCGGAGTGGTCTTGTGGCGGGGTGGGCAGGTTTGGCGCCAGGTCTTGGGCGAGGGTCGGGTCCTTGCCGATGTCGTCGATGGCGAGGGCGACGAGGAGCGCGGAGATGTCCTCGGGCGACGGGTTTCTGTCCAGCAGGAACTGGCGCAGACGGGCGAACGAGGCCCGGGTGAGCTTGTTGCTGGCGGACTGGCCGCTGGTGAAGACGTCGTACTGGTCGGCGAGCAGCCATTTCACGGCGAGCATGCTCACGAGCGTGCGGTTGACTTCGGTGAAGTCTTCGCCGAAGACGACGCGCGAGGGCGTCCACGACGGCTCCTGCGAGGAGGGTGTGCCCGATTCGACGGTGGGACTGGCATGCTTCAGATGCGCCAACTCGGCTGCAAAGGTGGTCGCAAACGAGCGCAGCACGACGTCATCGCTGTCGGCTTCAAGGCTGGGGAAGAGAGACATGGGACTGTGGGATGGTGGATTGTAGGAGGTGTAGGTGTGGAATGGGAGTGTCTGTGTCGCATTGGGAGGAGCAGTTTGATATTGTCGATCTCGAGAGTGATGGCAGTAAGGCGTACTGGAGGCTGTGCATCAGCCGTAGTTCGATATCTGCTGAACTGCGGGGCGCAGACAATACATAAATACGTACATCCTGCCAAGCCGGCGGTCTTCATAAGAGCCTAGACCCCGGGAATGTACTTAGTTCGCGATGTACTTCACTGTACGTTCAGGACAACCCTCCTACAAGTAGAGGAGCATTCCTACAACTCGCTTTCGCCATTCTAGTACCTCTACCTCAAGGACGCTGCCAACACACTCGCATACCTCCTCGCTGTCACTGCTCCAAGCCCGTCACGCAGGTCCTTATACTGACCCCCTCGTCCCTCGTTTTTAAACACAAAAACCGGACCAGCCGCTTCACCATCCCGGACAGACGCACCCGGTCGAAGGGGATCCCAGGGAGAATCCCCATTGATGAATGTAATCCACGTGTCCTGCGTTTGATGCACGCTCGCTATCCAGGACTCTCTGGATCTTTCGTCAATCAAGTCTGGGGCCACGTTGAAAAGGACGGGGTCAGTGACACCATGATGTGCGGCGCCCGCGACATGGCACCCGGGGTAGAGATTTCCCACCGCATGGTGGTAGAGCCAGACTCGCCCTTGGCCTCCTGGCAATTCTTGCGATGTAACAAGAGCGGAATGGAGGTTGGGAACGTTGAATATACAATGTCCTAGTAGTTTGGACCAACCGGGGATGTCGAGGGAAGGCGAATTTACGGTGGTTGTGACTCCGTACGCATCCAGCACAGCTGGCTGATCGAAGGGAAATGATTCCGGTGCACGCAGTATACCATTGGGCGAGAGGACTTCCTGGATTCTGGAAAGAATTTCCGTGTCAGATTTCGGTTGCATGGTTTTCATGTCATGCAATAGAACAGCGGCGAGATCGTCTTCGTAGGCGGCGGCCCCGAAAAGGGTGGGCAGGACCTCATCTCCCCGCGAGGCACCCTTGATGGACTTGTCCAGGATATACTCTCCGTCGATGAGGGGATGAAGGACGTCGAAATTCAGACTGTTTGTAAGATCGGTGGGCGGGCATTGTTGCAGTATATCCAGCGAGGGTCTCGGGGAGTCGGCGTCCACTGCCGCGACCAACCGATCGTACAGCTGCTGGTGCGCCTCCAGGTCAAGTGGTCCAATGCTCGGTAGAACCCCACTCGCTAAGATCACCCGAGAGAACAGACGATTGGGAAAGAAGGAAAGGTAGTGGCAGGACGCTGAGCCCGCGCTCGTTCCCTGGATGGTAATTCGAGCCGGGTCACCCCCAAAGCCGCCGACGAAACGGGATACCCATTCGATTGCTCGCGCCTGGTCGTGCAGGCCGTAGTTACCGACAGCCTCGCCATGAGACTTGTTGAAGACGGCGAGTTCTTTGGACGCAAGGAATCCCAACGGCCCGACCCTGTAGTTGATGGTCACACCGATGATGGGCTTGCCTGTCTGCATGCTGCGCTGTACCACGTCGTGCAAGTCAAACATCTCTCGCCCAGCGTTTTGAAGGGCTTGACTACCACCGACGAAGGCCCCGCCGTGAATGAATATGAAGACAGGAAGGCTCTCGGTACGGCTTTCCAGTACGGATTTGGGAATGGTCAAGCTCAGATTCAAGCATTGCAGCTCATCCTCCACCGGGGTCTGCAGGCAAGGGTAGTCCTCTGGTAGGGGGCCATTCCAGAATTGGATGAGTGGGAGAGGAGGCGTTGGACATACTGGTCTAGAGGTCGTCAGATCATAGTTGCCCATCACAAACAGGTCAAGAGAAGCTGGGGCTACCCTGGATTAGTCGCATCGAATGATGGATGGGGTAGGCGATCTGCCAATACGCTTTGTCGAAAGCGAGCTGGAATCGAAGCAAAAGGGAGGCCCCGGAACTGAATGATATCGCCTTGTCGGTGCAGTCCCTTGATTTCGCCCAACTCCGCGTGGGTGAAGGTGAAAGGACGAGGAGCAGTAGTTGAGCCCATTTTCTTTGCGCGGAACCAGGGGGAGGGCTGCTTGACGTGTACTTGAGGTACTACATAAGTAGTAGAGGTATACCTACGTATATACCTACCTGTAGAGGGACTATGTACAGTACACACCCCTGTTCAGGCTGGATGCGGGGATTATTGCCCAGTTTGGCGTGGTACGGATTTAACCCCAAAATGGCAGATTGCCGGGATCCTTGATCTACGGACTTTCATTCCCAATCAGATGCGATCCTCGTCAAGAGCAAAAGATTTGGGATCTCGCACCTCATCCCGCGGACGGATTCCGAAACAGGCAACAGGGAGAACAGTTTCACGACGACCCACCAGAGCTACTCCGTAAAGCCGACGATGACGGAGGGAGGTAACAAGAGTTCAGACTTCAGTCTGCCATATTCTTTGCACTCCCTGCAGCACATTACCTTTCTCGCATTTCCCATCATTTTTTCATTCACATTGAACATCGAATACGCCTTATCTGAGCTCGATTCGCTCCATCATGGGCAGCAACCAATCTCCAGGCCATTCCCACTGCTGGCGCCCTCGTCTTCACCCCTTGCCGGCGAAAGGATGGATCAACGACCCCTGCGCGGTGGGGTACAATCCAATGACCAAGACTTACCACTTGGGCTTTCAGTGGAATCCGGACGATTGCCAGTGGGGGAGTATCTGCTGGGGGTCCGCCTGCTCAACAGATCTCCTGCACTGGAAGTTCATGGCCCAGCCGACCCTCCGTCCCTGCGCGTCCGATAGTCCGCAGGGTGTTTTTACCGGCTGTATGGTGCCGTACGACCGTGATGGAAAGCAGAATGGTGTGATTACGGCATTCTATACAGCCGTTTATCATTTACCAATCCACTGGACGAGGCAGTATGTGCGGGGGAGCGAGCGACTGCATATGGCTGTCTCACAGGACAGCGGTCAGAGTTGGAAAGCCCTAGAAAAATCAAACCCTGTGCTGGAAGGTCCACCTGGCTCTCTCGAGGTTACAGGCTGGCGAGACCCGTTCGTTGCTCCGTGGCTTCATGCGTCGCAGCGTATTGACTGCTCTGACACTTGTCTCTGGGGCATCGTTTCTGGCGGCATCAGAAATGTCACTCCAACGGTGTTTCTCTACCGCGTGAATCTGCCACATCTTCATGAGTGGGAGTATATTGGGCCTTTAATGGAGCTGGGATTGAACTTTACCTCCTCCCGCTGGAGCCATGATTTCGGCACAAACTGGGAGGTGGTGAATTTTATTACTCTATCGGAGGAATCAGGAGCAAGCTCGTATGACTTTCTAATACTCAGTGCCGAGGGACGGATACCACGACCTGGAAGTACTCGGTCACCCAGTCGAGACGAGAGAGCTCAGATGTTTCTTTGCGGGGACCTGGACAAGACAGAGGATGGTGCACTCCGTATGAAATTCAAGTATGGGGGTGTGTTGGACTACGGCGCCTTCTACGCCGGCAATTCCTTTTGGGATCCCGTTACCAATGCTCATATCCTCTGGGGCTGGGTGCAGGAGGACGATCTTCCGCTGGAAATACGCCGTTGTCAAGGCTGGGCCGGGGCTCTGTCTTTTCCGCGTGTGATACGCCTAGTTACACTAGACAGCGTGGAGAGTGCTCTGGTTTCCTCTATTCCGTCAATTACATCCATTGGGCACAAAGCCGATGAACGCGATCCGACTCTGTATACCATCCAATACCTGGCTGCGCTCCCGGACCCGCGGATAGAGAGCCTTCGTCAGGACAAGGTCAAGTCGCCCCTTAACACTCGACTAGAGGAAGACAACACCCCCATTCTGCTTCACTCTGGTACTGCATGGAATCTGGAAGCCTCCTTTGGCATTGACCTATCAGTTAAGAATGTAGGGCTGCGAATCGTCCATCCCAAAGGTATGTATTGGTCACAGATATTCCAAGCCACTATTACCACCTGAAGCTTTTACTGACAATTCCACGTTCTATGAACCATCAAGAACAAACCAAGGTTTATTTCACCCCCAAGACTGAAACCCTTCACGTTGACCGGAGTCACTCTACGAGCATACCTGGCCTCTGTCTCGCAAACGAAGCCGCCCCGCATACACTCTTTCGCCGTCGAAGTAAAGATGATGAGAATGACGTGTTTGAGTTAGAACCTCTGACCCTCTCAATGTTTTTTGATGGAAGTATCCTTGAGATATTTGCCAATGACCGAACGGCCATCACGACCCGGGTATATCTTTCGGACAACTCGCTCAGCGAGATCCAGCCGTGGATTGAGTATGAGCCGGGTAAAAATGGATCGGCTACCGATTGCAAGCTTCTTTCATTCCAACTCTGGAAGTTGGATTCACGCAGTTGAAAAAGCAGCTCCTGTCGGTCTATTTTCGTTCTTATAAATTGCGAGCTTGTCTAGTCATGATAGTCATGGCACCTATAGAGCATTAGACCCAATTTATGATGACTGAGCGTATTTTAATTTGGGATCTTTACCGACTGTCATGTTTAAGTCTCGACTTTTGTCCACATGCCGGTCCAAGTTTCCGTGGCTGCTAGTATTGTTCTAGTATCGTTCGAGCTGGGACCAGGTGCCCACCTGGTCCCACATGGACCTAAACCCTACCTACCCCCGACATCAACGTTACTCCTCTCGCTCTGCATCTCGAGATAAGACTTGCAACTCCATCTTTGTAACTTCTCAATGGCGGAAATTGTATTCGACGCGACGACTGTGACACCCGTTCAGCCGCACTCTTGTGGGGAGTGTCGCTCTCGGAAATCTAAGGTATAATTCACAGATGGGGGATATCGGTAGAAGCTTGCTGATAAGGACAGTGCAATCGTCGGACACCATGCGGAAACTGTCAGCGGAAGGGCTTGCACTGTGTATATGGCTATACGCGGAAACCAAAGACGCAGAAGGGCCGGTATGTGGGCGATTGGACAATCAGCACGACCATTTCTGACCTGATGAAGTGCTAGCAAAGCAGGTCGCCATGACGTTGGTCGAACGATTACGAGTTCCTCAAGGGCGGATCCGATGGATAACTCCGTGATATGGGATAGCCTGGTAGACGGCCTTGTCACCCAGGATGCCACCGATCCATTCACGATTGAGACTTGCTCTCCAGGTTTCAATTTTGATGCAGTCCTCACACCTCCATCTGCCCCCGGTTGGGAATTTGGGGGTCCAGAAGTGGCATTGAAGGAGACAGATATTCATCCGCTGGAGCTCCCATTCTCGGAAGCAGAGATTAATCGCACAATCTCTCGGTATCTTTACCAGATCCATCCGTCCATGCCCTTTTTTTCAGCGTCGTTTCTTCTTGATGGCTTGAAGCTCTACCGACACCAACATGATCCGGCCTTCGCAGCTATGGTTATCGCCATCTGTGCATTCACACACGCCCATTCGCAAGACGCCGACATGGGGCCTTCAGCAACGGGCTCTATTGCCTTGTCGCTGCGGTTACATCAAGACACTGACTTGGGTGAATCACCCACAGTAGAGGACCTGCTGACGAGTATGTTCATATCCGGTGTACTTTGGCGGACCGGGAAGGAAGCGGCTGCTTGGCTACGTTTACAGGAAGCTATCAACCTTGCCAGACTGCTTCATCTTCCCGACCTGGAGCATGACAATACGCTCGATGTCAAGACCTGGGATAATAGAGCAAGAATCTATCTCGGTCTGGGTGTCATTGACAGGTCTGACTATAACTCCCTTGTTCTCCCTTGGACACTGAGCTAAGGCAATGCTGAAGGGTATTTGCCTCCTCTTTTGGACGCGCTCCCACACTCCCTCCAGTTTCTTCCGGTTTACTGCAACGGTTCTCTCAAGTCAGATTGAGAGCACAGGAGTGTGAAATTGTCGACGAAAGTAAGCATGTCTCGGCGCTGCGTCTATTGGTCCATTCTTTCGGACGTGTCGATGAAGGAATTCTCTCCTGCCTCCAAGGTGAATGTGGAAGTGTTTTCGACGGTCCCTCATTGTGCAGTCGTACCTCACGCGAACAGATCCAACAGCTGTTACGGGACACCGCGACGATCGATTCCGATTTATGGCGGAATCTTAAGGATAGGTCACCGGTGCCGGCAACATCAACATTCAGGGCCGCGCTTGAAACGGTCGGATTGTCGATAGACGTCTCCCTAAGCGAGAATGAGCACGCGGATGTTTTGTTGACCTGTTACTGGGTCCAAATGCGTCTCTGGAATATCGCACTCACACACGGCTATTTGTCGCCTATGTCGTCTGCTGTGGAAGCTGCTACTCCAGAGCTGAGCTTCCAATATGCTGTTGATCTTGCAACACGTACCACGGATTTATTCAAGAGGTTTTCGATCCGCAGCTGGGAAACTCATGGGGAGGGTGTGGTAAGCATGCTGACTGGCTTCCGACCGTACCTTAGCAAGAGGCAATGCTCTGACTCTTATCGTTTGGATTTTAGGCAGAGAAATGTTTTGGGATTGCCTCCGGTTTCCTGGTCGCCGCTACACAGATCTGTATGCAGGATATCACATGGTCACCGTCACCTCCACAGGACCCTGGTTACGACTCTAGTCCGCAATCGGACTATGCCTCGAATGATCGCATTTGGCCGTCTCCTCGATGCAGGTTGGACACGCAATATCTGTTCCAGATAGCGAATGGCTTTCTGGGATTCTTCTGCCTATTCCAAGGGGGACGCCATCCCTATTACAAGGAGTTCACGGGTCTCTTGGACGGATTTAGGAAGATGTGCGACTAACAGAGCATTCTGTGCTTCAAGCTTGATACGCGCATGGCCAATGTTTCGTCTTGAGCATCAGTGGCATACGACCACCAAACACACGCGGCCACATCTCGACGGGCGATGCAGGGAGTCTGGCAAGGTGGGCGGTCCAGGCCCCGGGCCGGGATTTGCACAAATCGGGCCTTTTTCCGCAGGGCTGCCAAGAGAGGTTGTTTGTGTCCACGAACTATTCCAATTTGGGCGACGTACCCCAGACTTTAGACTGTGGGGGATTTCCAACGCGTTTCTCGGTCCCAGACTCCCGAATAATACATTGCCGTGCATCACATATATCATGCCTCTCGTCCATACCCCCTGGGGGTGTATGCGGAGTACAGAACCGGCAGACGTCCCAACTTAGTCGAAATGTCAATCCAAGCTGGTCAAAATCGCAGTCTCTGGCACCAGGCCAGACACAATCCAATCCTGGTGTTCTATGGTGAGGCTTCTCCCATCGCATCTGCGAAACCTCTACTCATCCGTCGTTCGCGGTAGCAATTGTTCTGGGCCTCGTCTACTGGAACTTTGGGTATGATGGTGCTATCATATCGGGGGTCCTCGCGATGCCGGTCTTTGTACATGATTTTGCAACAGGACGCACGGCCTCGGGCGTACCTTTTCTGTCTTCAACCAATACTTCTCTCATCACGGCCCTGCCCGTTGTGGGCTCGCTGTTGGGCGTTCCTTTGGCTGCCTTTGGTGCTGATCGCTACGGTCGGAAAACGATGCTCCTGGTTGCTTGCGCTATTTGTCTGGTTGCCTCTGCGATGCAGACTGCCGCAAATGGCATCCCTCTTCTGGTTGTCGGTCGGCTCGTGAATTGTAAGCAACCCTCTCCTTGGGGCTGTCTGACACCTACTCTGTGACTGCTGACTGGCTCGACTCGACAGATATATCCATCATGACATTCATGACCCTGGCTACCGCCTGGATTCCGGAAATTGCACCCCAGGAGATCCGCGGCACTCTAGCCAGTCTGTCGATCTTCGTCATCAATCTCGCGGCGATAGTGACCTCCTGTATCAACTACGGGGCCGAGAAACTGACCACAAGCGCCTCATACCGTATTCCCATCGGGTTACAACTTGTATGGCCGCTAATCATCGGCTGTGGGCTGTTCTTCCTCAAAGATGCGCCCACATTCTTCTTGATTAAGGGCCAGGACGAGAAGGCAGAGAGCTCTCTCCGCCGGATTCGTCGCGGCTACTCAGAGGCCGAAATCGAGTCTGAGCTGCGAGCGCTGAAGGCCCAGAAAGCCCTGAGACAGGAAGAGATCGAAGTCCCCTTCTCCGAGCTCTTCAAGGGTGTGAATCTCCGCCGCACGCTTCTAGCCATGTCTGTTCCAAATCTTCAACAGTTATCTGGTATCGCGTTTGCGACCAACTACGCTACCATCTTCCTTCAGCAGGTGGCCCCGGGAGAGGACCCGTTCGTTCTCGTCATTGCCCTGAACATCCTTTCATTTGCCGGTGCTATCGTCGGAATGGTTCTTGTTGACCGTGTTGGCCGTCGGCCGTTGGCTCTCACGACCTTCACCATCCTGCTCATCATCAATACTGTAGTCGGGGGCTTGGGATTCGTCGACACGACCGCCCATCCTGGCGCTGCAAAGGCACTTGCTGGCTTTTGCCTGATGTTTGGGTTCTTTTACGCTGCGGGATTTGGAGGCCTCACTTACGTGGTTGCTGCGGAGATGCCAACTGCCCGCTTGAAGAACCGTACCAGCGGGTTGACGTTTCTGGCGCTTGCAGCATTCAATATGGTTGTGACATACGTACTGCCGTACATTGCACAGTCTGACGGGTAGGTCCACGGCTCCCTTTGGGGTTGGTCACCTGAGCCCCTATGCACAGAGAACTAACCCCGTCCAGTGCCAACCTCCAAGCCAAGACATACCTGATATTTGCTGGCTGGATGCTTTTCTCAGTACTGATCGTCTTCTTTTATCTGCCTGAAACCAGAGGACGCTCTGCCGCAGAGCTTGACGAAATGTTTGAGGCTAAGGTGCCCGCGAGGAAGTTTTCGAGTAAGCATTTCCTACAGCGCGGGTGGAAATAACCAGTCGTTGACTCAGAATACAGGCTACATTTGCCAGAACGCTCGAGAGAACTTCTTTGAAGCGACTCAGGCCGATGCGAAGATACCACTCAGTGATCATGTGGAAGAGGCCAAGGCTTAGCCTGTTGCTTGCAGTGTACATATGGAGCCAGGTCCTGTGTAGCCATATAAATCCAACTGGGTGGTAGCTTTATTGTGCATAGAGGACAATCTCAGCTGGAAATTTTGATGATACAAATTCCTGATTAGAAGGGAAGACGTTTAAACGGTCAACTTTTTGACAAGTATAGCAAGAGTATCTCTCCTGGAGTAAAGAAGCAGACTTGGAGAATAACCTGCAACTGATCATCCAAGGCTTATGTTTAATTTGGTCTTATAATTCACACTGTGGGCTTGCTGGGCGTAATCTGGCTACTAGTACCGCCTGGTATTGAGACCACGATTCTCCCTCCAAAAGCCACGCACCATCACCCTTTTCCCTTAATCAACTCCGTCTCCCCCTTGACTCCCTCATCCTTCACCCCGAGTACATCATGGCGGGATGCGCCTCTCAACCCTCAACCCATTCTCGAAACTCATATTTCATTGTCGGTGCTTCTCTGGTCCATGTATTAGAGGCTTCCGCCGCGTATCAACAGTCACACAGAACTATGCTATCCCTGTGGGGAGCAGTGGCTATATCACCTTAGAGTATGGGGCTACCATCTAGCTGTTTACAATCGCTAACAACTGCCAGTACCATCCAGCCGTCTATCCCATCAAGACATGCCCGTCGGAATGTTATCGTCCATCTACCACCTGGTCCCTTGTTTGACGTCTCTGGGAACGGGTCCCGTGTGTCCCAGATCCCAAGTATTCTAGCATCGACCACCCATGCAACAATCGTAACTATCAACTACCGTCTGGGAAATGTCTTACATGACTCACACCACGCATTGCCTGAAGTGATGCCCACTGACAACCCATCCGGAGACCACGCCTACGCTGGTACTAACCCAGGGGTACGTCATTACCAATACCCCATTCCAGTGCACGACACCCTTGCAGGATTCGACTGGGTCTCCCAGAATCTCCAACCCGACCGCCTCGGGATCATCGGCACGCACATCGGCGGCTCGTTGGCGCTCACGCTTGCCTTGACCGAAGCCGCGTCGGTCAAAGCAGTGGCGGCATTGGAACCAGTCTGTGACTGGCCGGGCCTGGACGCATTCTGTACGCAAACCGCACAGCACGGCCACAAGTCTACTCCCGCGAGAAGAAGGTCTAGCCGCATGGCAAGACACGCTCCGCGGGACCTGGTACCGCTGCTTGACGCGCGGGAGAGACTGTTTTCCACGCCGGAACGGTACTTTGATGCGTTCGCCTCCCCGGTGCTTTTCCTGCGCTCGGCGGGAAAGGATGTGCCTCCAGCAATTCCAACGTATTTTACAGGACCGGAATATCCGGTCCCTGTCTTGAAGCCACTGTCGCGGTCTGAGGAGCAAATTGACTATTGGGATGTGCATATGCATGCGGTTGAAGGCAACAATACAGATACGGAGTACCCAACAAATACGATATCCGAGCAAGACGATGATCCCAAACAGCCCGTCCGCCGTCGGAAAGCCCTCAGACGATGGCCTCCATACGGTCTCGATTATGGGACAGGGGGCTCTTCTGGTTTGCATTATCAACTAGGGGTGAAGCGTCTTCAAGTGGCCCTCCCTTGGGTCCGTATCTTCTCCCGCATGGAGCTCAACAATGCCGAACCTTCACACAGTTCTCGGACACCTAAATCTGCCAATACTTCAACAGTACTAGCCAGCCAGGCCAGTGAGATGGTGGATGTCATGCGGCGGGCGTGTTTCTGGGGCCATGAGAAGGGGGTCGGAGAACGCCGTGTGACGCTGGCCCCGATCCCGTCCTCGGAATCAGATGAGATACAAGCGGGGCGTGCAGGGGAATGGATTATGGAGACTTTGTCGGCCGATTGAGCTGTGAGAGGGTATTCATCATGCTGTCGATCCAATCTTGTCGGGACGGATATTGAAAATAGATGCAAACAGGACTGCTCTCAGCTCACTGGCAATCTAATTTTACCACTGGAGGTTCTGGTTATTTCACAGATTTATATTATGAATCTTTCATTGCTTCAGAAATCAGAATCATCACACATGGCAAGGTCGTACATAAGTCTTGCGAACACAGACATCTGACTTGCCATGATCACGCTCCAGAATGTGACAACAGACGTGCCTGTCATCCGAATTAAACAGACTATGCACTGTAAGCCTCTCTCCAGCGCGATTTTTTGCCAACCGCTATCTTCCTCAACATGAAAAGCTCCAATATGTCCGAAACAACCGCAGGCTCACGACCAGACAACGCCTGCACTGTCCGAACTCAGGTTTGCCATTACCTCAATCGATGTCTCCGGCAGCCATAACAAGCCCTCATGCGGCAGTTCTTGCATACAAATATGTACGCACGCATGTAAGTGTTGCAGATCTCGCAGCGCAACCTTTGTCTCTCCAAGCCCATTGGGACCGTCGGTGATGATCGCAGCCAATATCCTCGTGGTGCAATAGATCCTCTCTGATCCGGGCAGCGGCGTTACGGCGCTGGTAAACATTCGCGTCTGGCGCGACTTCCTCATCCACGGCCTCGTTCACCACGACGACCAGCCGGTCCTCATGCCAAAGGGGACAGTCGCAGGTCTTCCAGGCCTGACCGCACACGTAACAGAACTCCTTACCCCACCTATCAACCGTCAGTGTCATAAATAAACATATCGTTTGGAAGAAGCTCAGGGCCTACCCACCGACAGTAGATATGATTACATCCGTGCTGAAGCTCCACCATAGCCCGACAATTGTAACACCGTCTCCAACGCCGCGCCTCCGCCATGTCCAATATATCGTGGAGAGCGACATCCATCGGACAGTCGACACGCGGGTGCGCGAGAGAGCGACACGGCACGTGCGTCTGCTGGTGGCATTCAGGGCAGGTAGCCAGCTCGTCTTGGATCGCGAACGGCGGGATGAACTTGGATCAGGTCGCATCGGCGCAATACACGCGGTCCTTCGCGGAGTATTCCATGGCCTTCTCGCTGAACGACCGGAGCTCGGCGTAGTCGAGGACCCTCATCGCTATTCCCGGGGTGACGATGTGGCCGCAGCAGCGCGGGGGGTAGAGCTCTTCGTCTTTGGTGGCTCTGAGGAACATCTGTCGGGTGCAATCGTGGCAGAAGGCGTGGCGGCAGAAGTCCATGAACAGCGTGGGCTCGCACTTCTCAAAGCAGGATGCACACTCCGTTCCGGGAATTGGGGCCCGAGATGATGATGCCGAAGCTGATGCGGCTGTTCTGCTGTGTGCTTCGTTGTGTGTAGCCGCGCGGTCCATGATGTCCCCAAAGGCGATGGAGACAGCATCTTCGTTATGCTCTTCAGCTACTGCGTGTGGTGCATCCGGGGGTTGTTCGTCGCCGTTGAGGGCAAGTGCGTAGTGACGGTCTTGGGTTGCGAGCGTTTCTTCCTGTCGGAGAGATGCTAGGATCTTTTGATCGGTGGCGATTGCAGCGCTCGTGCTGATGGCCAGGATACTGTCCTCGATGGATGTTCGGGCCGCCAGGATTTCGTCTCTCATACAGGCTAGGGCAACTTCATGGTCGCTCAAATTTCCTGCACGCTGTTTGCCCTTTTGTTTATGTTCGATGTCTTCGAGGTCTTCGGAAAGAAGCTGGAGGATCAACTTCGCGTCTCGGTCTCGCTCCATGTTGGTGGGTGGTTATGAAGAGCGAAGGCTTGATGTACAGGCTTGAGGGGTGCAAGAAAGGAATACAGACGAGAGAAAGAAGCAGAGAGGAGAATTGGAGCGGTTGAGGGTGAGGGTGGAAGTGAGAGCAAACGACGGGTTACGCGAGAGTCTCACCACGCAGAGATTTATCACTTCTGTTGCAGACTCGTTGTCTCATTTCCTGCGTATGCATTACCTCTTCATATACTTGGCTCTTGGTAGTTATATGCGTTATAAGTGAGTCAGTGGCAATTGACCTACGTCGTAAGAGCCAAGCGAAATTGATGCTCAGCAGTAGGATTATGTCAAAACAACATCCCAGACAGTATATGATTCTTTGATAAAGATGAATGAATGCACCGACCTCTACCAGTGTTATCAATCGTCGACAGAACATATATACTTTGGCTGAGGATGCTATATGGCTGGACGCTGCTGATACTCTTCAAGTGTTGATGTTAGAGGGCAGATGTGTGAACCGAAATCTATAAATTCTATAACAATCATCACATGGTGCAAGCTTAGGAATGGTAAGCCCACGCTTAAAATTACACCAAGATTCATATTCAAACAAGACAGATGCTATAGAGAGGAACCCCCGAAGCCATTCTCGCCCGGTGAATCCCACCACGGTTCGATATCCGAAAGACTGGGTAACGTTGGATCCTCGCCATACTGCTGCACATTGCCAACGCTAGACATGGCACCGTCGTCAAAGGTTCCCGACAGCAATTGCAGATCAGAGCTGCGGATCCAATCAAAGTCCCCTGGCTGACAGGCACCCGCCTGCTGGGTAGGGTCAAGAGGTTGTAAAGGGAGTTGAGGTTGACTGGGAGGTACGCCTGCGATGGGCGGTGAAGTTGTGGACATCGAAAAGGGATAGGTAGGCTGGCTTTGAGGAGCCGTGACGCGAGATTTCTTCCGAGATGGATCCGACTCCGGCTTGCCTTCACCGAGATGTTGCATGGATGGTCGGTTGCTGATCTGCCGCTTCACGGCGGAGCCAGACCTGCGCATGCGGGCTTGCCACCTCCGCTGCAGGCTGACGAGGAAGTCCCTCGTCCGCTTGGCGTTTTCAAACGACTGACCCAGTTCATCCAAAGCGCGAAAGCAGAGATTGAGGTATGCGACCATCTCGGCGTTGCTGTTGCTAGAGTCGCTACCGCTGCTACTTGGGCGAGGGGAGTTCGAGAGAGTAACATAGAGCAACATCAGAGCCGCGCTGAAGATGATGGCTACAACTTGGTTGTTCATGCGACGGAAGGTGTAAAACTTTTCGTAGATGTGAAGCAGTCGCGCAATAGCCATTGACGACTCGATGCACATCCTGCGAGCATGGTGGTATCCGGGACCCTGGCGCGGACTACGCGGCTGAATGTAGCTCTTGGAGACCCAGGGTCGGTGGGTGAAGATGACGATCTGATGATATTGCATGCTGTTGTCGTCAGTGCGTGTCCTTTATGGTAAGGTACGGACAATCGACATACTGTAGCATCAAGAGGTGGGGTAGCTTTGGAATGTTGTCGTTTTCGAGGTCAATGTTTAGATTGGAAGGTAGATTCGCTTTCCACGCAAACAGATCGTCCGTCACTCGGTGACACAACCTTTGAAGATCATGTCGGGGAATATCAGAACATCCATACCTGTAACAAGTCAGCATCTGGCGAGAGAGAAATATATGTACTATGTGACTTACAGGATGTGGCCGACAGGGGAGATTATCTCCCAAAGGATAGCGAATTGACGGCTTATCAATTCATGAGGATTTCTCAACCCGTTTTTCAGTAAATCTGATTTAACCGGAAGCCCGTATGGATACCAGATGCCTTCCTTTCCGGAGCCCAAGTCCGACGCAGGCTTGGGAACGGTGATATCTCCTGCATTCATTCGGAAGGGCCGTCCCAGATAGAAGCCCCAGAAGCTAGACCCGAGTCAATACAATTTTATCAATGAAGAACATTCTGCTTACTGATCTGCGACATAACTGCCCCAGAACGCGATCCGGCGAACATCTGCTTCGAATGCACTGATGTCGCCTTTCTCCACATATGGAGTCATGTCGAGGTGCAAGCCCAGATCAAATGCAAGTCTCATAGACATGCCTGAAAGCAAAGTCAGCATACGCCGGTTGTTCAGGCATGGACATCAACGTACCACTATATAGCCAACCCCGCGCATCTCGATTGGAAGACCCTTCATGGCAGCTCAGTATCACGAGCGCCTGAACCGTCGCAACACATGGAGAATCCAATTCGATCTCCAGAAGCGCCTTCGCTCTGTCCGCGAAGAACTCGGACAATGACTTGGGAAAAGTGATAAAGGTAGGGTGGTACCTAGCCTCGAACGCACTTCCAATAGCGCACCTAACAGGTATTAGCCATGGAACAGAAAAATCGTTAGGTCGGATCGTACATGGCATTCGTAAGGACTTCGGAATAGAATGGAGTGTCATCCAGCTCGTTCCTCCACTTTGCCCTCGCAATCATGAACATTTCTTTGTCAACCACATAAGTGCTTGTGTTCTGCCAAGTAAAGTACAGCTCCACAAGGTGGTTTTCGAGGGCCTCGTCCACCGCCTGACCAACACGCAGGTGGTTCAGAATGTCCTGACCATCGTGACGCACAGTACGTGCGTCAGGGCGCTGGCGCTGTTGGGTCGCTGAAACATCGACTAGATTGAGGTTGGAGGTAGCTCCGTAGAATCGCAAGTGGCCATCCCCTGCGATTTTCAATGTCCCGATGCGGTGAGAGATCTGTTCAATCACGTCTTTCTCAGCCTCATCTTCCTCCCCACTATCTGAATCGTCGTCTTTATATTGTAGTCCTTGCTCGAGTAGCACTCCCGGCTGGCGTTGCATGTCTTGGGTCAGTTGGAGACTGTCAGGACTTAGGCTGTTTTCATGCGCAGAATTGGGTCTTCCATTGATATTTGCATATATAGTGTCCAAGCTTTCAGCCGTTGGGAGGGTGAATCCCCAATGCGTAGAGGGATTCGGAAATGCTAGACCCGGGCTTATACCAAGTGGCGCTGGTTGCTCTGGACTACTCACAACCGGAGGAAGAGTTGACTGGGCGTGAGGAGCATTTTGCTGGGATGATGTTACCCCAGTGGCTGCAGCCGACGTGCCACCCAAACTCTCTTCGACAGGAGGAAGCGGTGGTGGAGTGTGGATAGGTTGCGCCGGCTGCGCAGGGCCATTTTCTAAAGGCGCACCAACATCTCTCTTTTTCGCCAACCCCCGAGGAATCTGTAGTGTGTCCAAAACCCTGTTGATACCCGATTCATCATCAGGGTTCATGGGGGGCGGCTCTAGCCCATGGTCATAGATGAACTGACACAGCTGGTCAATCCGGGCTGAAAAGAGATCCGTGGCCGCACGAAGCGAGACTCTGCATAAGGCACGGTCAGTTTCCGTTGGCTGTGCGACAATAATTGCCTTTGCGCGATTTCCGTGTTCGCTGAGATGGACCATCATCCCCACAGATCATAAAAGTCGATTACACCTTCGAGGATCCCGCAACGCACGATAATACGAGGTTCATCCGCAGACAAAAGAGATGGCTGGAGCGAGCTGACAACATACTTCCGTTTATCGTCCCCATGTTGATACCTGCAGTCTTTCCCTTTTCTTTCGCAATTGTGACAGTGGGGAGTGGCTCCGTCGCACTGCGCAAGTCAGTCAGCATGGAATGTATGCGATTCGTGGTTGCGGCGGCAGAAGCGTCTGCGACCAACATACCCTGATTTTGCTCTCCCGGCAAGGGACGCACGCGGTGGTGACATGCTTGCGCGGGGCCCTTTTGGGCTTCTCATCCTGCGACTGCATGGCTTGAAGCTAGGGTGGCGATGGCGCGGGGGTAACTTTTCTTTTCCTCTGGAGACGGAGACGAGAGATAGCTGCCTTCAGGGAACGGGGACAAGCATGTGATCAACCGACATCTCTGGATAAGAGCAGAAAGACACTGAGCATGATTGGAGTGCAGCAAGGTGTAGGGGGGAAAAAAAATCATCGCGCTGGGTGAAGCTGGGGAGAAATAACTAATTATGGTGGTTCTGGGGGAGGCCAAGCGGGGGAGGAAGAGGAGCTCCCCCACCGCCATCTGCCTATGAGATGCGCAGCAAAGGGTCACCAGAGCATCAGCAGTCCACCAGGGCAAATATATCCCGCAGGCCTAGATTCGGACTTTGTAGCCAGACACTGTTACTATCCAGAGTACTATGTATTTATTATAATCTCCATCGTTCTCACTGGCTATTCAATTTTCGTGTCAAATAGTTACAACGAAGACTGCAAAAGGTCGGATTACCAGTTGCTGGTGCGCTTGAGCGTCTCGTTCTGAATCACCTCAATCCAGTACCCATCCGGATCCAGAATGAACGCCACGTTCTTCATCCGTCCGTCCGTCAGGCGCTTCTTCCAGTTGACGTTCAGCGACTCAAAACGCTCGCAGGCGGCATTCAAATCATCGACCGACACGCCTGAGCAAAGTACCAATGGGTCAGTCACGATGATCCGGTGGTATGGCAGACTGCCAGGAGAACTTACAAATATGACCGAAGCCCTGAGGCTCGGAGTTACCGTCGTGGTACACCTTGCCCTCCTGCTTCTCCGTACCGTAATTCCAGGTCAACTCAAGGAGACCCTCCCCACTCGGCCACCGGGTTCTTGGCGTTCTCGCGCGTCTGTGGGTTGGACGCCGGGTATCCCAGGAAATACAAATTGAAGGCCGCATCCTTGTTCTCAATAGTCCGCAGCAGCGTCATACCCATCACCTCCTGGTAGAACTTCAGACTGGTCTCGGCAGACTTGACGCGAAGCATGGTGTGGTTGAGGCGGTAGTTGGCCGTATCAGTCGTAGTACCGACATCCTCGTCGTGGCGGCGGATGATTTCCACCCAGTAGCCATCGGGGTCCTTGGCGAAGGCGATGTGCTTCATGCGACCCTCGGTGAGTTTCTTCTGGAATGGGTAGCCGGCATCCTCGAGTCTCTTGCAGGCGGCCTCGATGTTATCGACGGAGATAGCGATGTGGCCGAATCCACGGTGAGGTTCTGTGTTTCCGTTGGCGACGCTGTAGTTGGGGTCGCTCTCGGTGCCGTAGTTGTGGGTGAGCTCCAGCACGGCGTTACGATCCGTCCAGTGACGATCACCTTGCAGAGACTTGGGGCCATTGTAAGCGAGGAAGTACAGAGAGAACTTGTTTTCGGGGAAGTCCAGCTGCTGGATTTGGTTGAGACCGAGGAACTTGTAGAATTCCACTGGGCGTGGTTAGCGAGTTGTCAGTGGGTGATGAACGATGCTCATATATTACCTGATTTCTTCGGGTCTTTCACCCGAATCATGGTATCTGCCAGCCATTGTTAGATCTGAGTGTGTAGTAAAAGAGCCCTTAAAGTTAGAAGGAGACCAACGGTTAAGCTTGTATTTGGAGGTTTCGGAAGCCATGGTTGCCAGGGATCTACTAGATCCTGTGGCACAAATCAGGTGTCAGCATGCAATCGAGCCTAACGGAGATCTCGCAGCCGGATGGACCGTACCAAGAAAGACAGAAAAGCTTGGTTTGGGGACCCTGAGAGAGGCGAGACGAAGCGAGGAGAACATGGAGATGGAGAGAGAGAGGAGAAGAGGGGTTGAAAAGGGCGATTAGTGAGCAGCGTGAGGAGAAAAAGCCATGGTGGGGAAGGCTATGACGCTATCGGCCGGATAACGCCAGCAGCACTGTTTACTATCCCATAGTCTATCTGAGTAGACACAATGTAACGTCGATATCCGCTATTTGATAGATTAGTAGGTATTAAAGGTGTCGATAATCATAATATACCAAGCTACTACGTACAGGCTAGGAGGAAAGTTCTCATCAGGTCTTGCGCAGGACCGTACCTCAATCCTCAGGCACCAAGGCGGTGACCAACGGTGGATGACATAATCCGTCTCCCCAAATGGTCAACTAACTAACTAACCATCGGAATCGATAACTGATCTACTTCTCCCCAAACCTCCATTTCTCTCCTCTTCTCGTCCTCCATAACAAACAGTAGTTAACAATTTCTTCTCGGCTTGCAATTGCGTCCAGTCCATTGTGCTCCTCGATCGTCTATCCCCACCGCCGTCCGCCCAATCTAAGGTTCGTTGTTGATCCCCGGTTCGAACTGTTGGCTCGTCGACTTCTCCGCCCTCCCCCATCCTGCCTTTCCTTTTGGCTTTTCGTTTCTTTTTTTCCCATCTTTTGGCCCCATTGTTGTTTTCTTTTGCCCGTGGCTTAACCTACCAGAAATGCCTCTGGTAGTCCAACTTCCTCCCCTCAACGCCGTCGTCGAACAGCCTTTGACGCTTCCCCCCCACGGCGCTCTTTGTCCCCACGTTCTGCCTTGCGACGTAAGTCTCTCGGCCTCTCGTGTCAGCCAGCGCGGATTCCACGATGGGCGGCGAGACGTTGGGCCCAGGTGTGGATCAGAGGCACAGTTCACTCCCTTACCTCCTGGTTGTCAAACGGACTTCGCGTCGTACATCTTTTGTGCCACCACTACCAGCGGGATCGATGTCTACATTGTGTTTCCTTCGTTTCTTGAGGACTATAAAACTGCGCATCTTGTGTATCTCCATTCGTGTTCCAGAGCACCCAGAGTCTCTACGCAACACCTCCAAATCATACACCACCCTCTCACGCCTGCCCACCGTTGCTTCCAACCCCGCAACTCAACTATTCATGAAAAATGGCTGAATTTGAACCCCCAGTGCGTCCGAGTTACACGCATGAAACTCCGCCTCGGGATATCCTCTACGACGTCTCTCACCGACCATACTGGGCGCAGAGCCAGTACCAGTACGCCCAGGACCTCCTAGAGAGCTCCGACGAGCCGATCGAGTACGACCCACGACGACCGCGACTATTGGGACAACTGCTTCTTCTTTCCCGAAGATTGTTCGTGGTCCCCGCCCAAGGGCTGGCGCATCGACGAGAAGCCCGAGTACCAGTATCATCCTCCGGCCCGTGGTGACGACCACCATCCCGACACCATGATTCCCGGGCTCCCCGATATTAAAATGTTGGATGCAGAGGCCCTCAGCGACCTGCTCGAGGACAACCTCTCGCCGCCCGAGATCACATCCATCCTGTACGGCACCTATACCCCGTGTCTCCCTACACCACCCCCACACATCCCCGCTAACTTTTCCCAACCCAGAGTCTTCGCTACTAATGGCGCCATCTTCGCCTACGCCTCTCCCCTCCCAACCCGCCAACTGCGCAACCTGAGCGCCACCTACGGCGCCGCCTACACATGCTACGCCAAGAGCGCCTCCACAGGCAACCTCACCGGCGTCAACCCCGCCAGTCATCCGTCCTCCTATGTCACCGCACAATCCGTCTCCCTGGGCGACGTGGGCTCCATCGTCTTCGAGCTTGACGACCTCGTCGCCGTGGTCACCCGCATCGCAGACAAGGTCCTCCTCGCGGCCGTAGGCCCGTCGAAGCTCGCCACGCCCGCCGCCATCAACGGGTCAGCGAAGCCAGCCACCAACGGAACCGGTTCGGACAATGAGCCCGCCGCCGCCGGCCCAGACGCCGAGCACGCGCAGGCCCGGACGTCGTCGGCGAATCACACCCCCGCCAACGGCACGCCGCAGAGCATGTCGCGGATCCAGAGCGAGACGGCGCTGCAGACGGACGCGCAGCTCGAAACGCAGTACCAGATCGATCGAAGTAGTGACCTCCAGCGGCTGGCGAGTTTGAACCTCTCCGCGTCGCCGGCCATTCTGCTGGCTCTGGAGTCCAAGTCAGCCGCGCTGGGGCGGTTCTTGAGTCAGAAGCTGGATGATCTGGAGAGTCCGGAGGATTTTTAGCGTGGGTACTAGCGTTTTCTCTTTTTTGTTATATCCCTTTTGTTTCGGGGGGAAGCTGTTGGTCCTTCTGGTGAGGGCTTTTTCGTGATGGTCACGGATGTGTATGATTCTCGCATATTGTGGTTTTTGAGCGCTGTTAGGTATCGAGTCGGTTGCCTAAATTATGATTGCAAATAAGTCCTTTCACGCGTGAATATACGTCAGGCCCGAGCCGTCATATACCCATCAATATAATCAGCAGTCGACTGTATACAGCCCGACTGCGCGTTGATTGAGTACGACAATCCCATTAGTATATACTAAAGACGGTATAAACGAATACTCTTAGTTAACAAGAACAATAAGGGATACCAATTGCCCTCCATCAATAAACCAATCGGGATATTAAGCAATGATTGCATCATAAAAACCCATTCACGACTTCTCACCCGTAGCAGGAGCGCTCGTAGTAGGAGCACCCGTGGGAGCATCAGTAGCAGCAGCATTAGTGGCAGGCGTGTCAACCGAAGCCGAATACAGACTGCCCGTACCAGTAGTACCAGCAGTACCAGATGTGTCGGTGCGGTTAACACCGGGGTGGGTGGTACTCGTGGCGCTGGCGGGTTCCTGAGGCGTCTGAGGGGACGTGGCCTCGCCCGCCTTCTCAGAGTAGGCAGGAGGTTCGGCGGCAGCGGTAGCCACAGCAGGACTGGTCGGCTGCGACGGGCCGGAAGTGGTGCTGGCGTGCACGGGGCCCCGGCTGGCATCCTTGATGGCGTTCCACCAGCGCTCAGCATCGCTGGGGCTGACGGCCTTAAAGTTCAGCTCGCTGGTGGTGTGGAAAGCGTTTCCAACTTTGCCGCTGGATACGTCCTTGCCCTTCACCGTGAACTTATTTCCGTCAATGGCGCCAACGACGCAGTCAGGGAGGTACAGCGACAGCTCCGGTGAGGGGTCCCGCTGGAGGTCATCGTTGTCCTTGAATTCGTGGAGGTAGCGCGCAGGCGTGACCACGTAGTACCCGGAGCTATAGCCCTTGATGACCGCGCGCGATTTGCGCTCAAGCTTTCCTTCGACCAACGCCTGCGTGGCACGGTGGTCCTGGTTGGGGAAGTTAATGCTGGCCAGGGACCGAGGCGGGGCGTCAGGGTCGACGAGCGAAGCGTGGTTCTGGGTGATGAAGTTGACCCATTCGAAGTCCGGGGGAACCCGCTGGGCAGAGGCCAGCATGTCCGAGTACATGGTACGATGACGATCCAGCTGGCCGTTCATGAATAGCACGAACTGCTCCAGGGCAGACTGGAGAGTCTGGAGGACGTGCGCCTCAAACTGTTGGAAGTTGTTCTGCACTGCGATAATGTCTTGGCGGTTGTTGTTCTCTTCAATGACCTGCTTGTTGAGGCGGTGTGTGACACCACGGCGCAGAATGTAGGGGTCATGATGCGGTTCGAGCTTGTTGCCAGACGATGCGTCGAAAGAGGCGGCCTGTTGCGCCAGAAGTTCAATGTGCTTCTGGGTAACGCCGCGGGCCTTTTCGACGGCCTTGGAGCTCTTCGAAGCGCCGCTCTTCATTCCTTCGACTTGTTCTTGATCTCCTTGTGAAGGCGCTCCAATGTCGGCATGATGGAACCTTTCAAGTTCTTTTCCGTATCAAGATACATGTTGACCATTCCCTGCCGAGATTGTCGGGTCAGCGGGCATTGCGACAACTGCGCACTAGCGATTGAGCAGTACCTGAGTATTGGAGCGGATGGACTCGAACATCGAGGAGACTCCGCCAGCACTTTGAGAGAAATGGTGGCCCTCCCGCAGGGGATCGCTCACGGTCTATTCCAAAGAAAGCCGCGCATTAGTCTTCGAAAATCAACAACGGTAGCCAACGAGAGAACGCACCTTCAAGACCTTCTCATAGTCCTTAGACTGAGACTTTTGCACCTTAGCCGTGACACTGACATAGTCTTCCAAGTTGCCACACATGTGCTTCCAGGCGCGGAGACGTTCGAGGAGGAGGTTTGTAGTCTGCAGCGCAAAGGTGGAATCAGTCACTGGCGCAATCCATTGAGAGCAACCATGGAAGCGAATGAACAATCGCATACCTCATTGCTGTCGGTGTCCGGGATCGCCTCATCGTCGCTCATGGAAGCGCGACGATCGGGGCCGATCGAACTCCTCATCGTGGAGGATCGGTGGGGGAGTCTTGTGTCCACAGGACTGCTGGTTGCCGACATGCTGGGTATTGTTTGTAGCACGGTTCACACAAGCGCAGAGGAAGGAAGGAGGTTCAGACGGCCAAATGAAGTGTTTTCACTCAGGGCGGTACCTGGGGCTAGTGTTAAGTACACCGCACGAAGGACTAATGGAGCTATTGGCGTTAGATCGGTCTTTGTGGAATTCGTTTCCGGCGCAGCGGAAAGAGAGTGGGGCAGTAAGTGACCCCGAGATCCCGAAAGTGAGGATGGTTAAAGAAATACCGGGAGAGGGTGATAGTAGTGGTGGCGGTGTACGGGGGAGAGAACGACGGGCAGCAGACGACGGCGAGATATATCCAGAGAAGAGAGCTGAAAGTGGGGGAGGAATTGGGTGGGAAGTGGTGGTGTGGCGTGGCGGCCGACCAAGGGCGGTCGGTGATGCTGTTCTGGTTGATCGACGCCTATGAGGTCATCGTATGAAGTAATCGGAGTAACCTTCTTTTAGTTGCCTTAGGCATCATATGTGATATAATTATAAACACCGGTATAGAAATCAACAAAAAACAAAGGAAAAGAGAAAAGGTTCCTCCAAATACATGTGCGTAATTCATGCTGACTCACCGTGTCAGCTGGTTGTCGTACCTTTCCTGCTATGCGATTTCTGATCCAATGTGCCGACAAATATAAGTATTATCCCGTCTATCAAATGGAATTAACGCCCAAGAACAAACCCATCTTCCCAATTCTAAGATATGAAACCAAAGACGCCGCAGCCCAGGATCAAGTCTTGAAGACAGCCGACCGTCACATGCGCATAGTAGACGCCCAGTCCTGGGTTGTGCTTTTTCGAAAGAGAGATGGTTCCCCAAAACAGTCCTCGGTGTCCAGCACCGAGGATTCATGATCATCATTAGAGCAATCATCCGAGGATAAAGCAGCCGGACAGCCCTTCGTAGACCCGGCATGATCGAGCATCCTGGTTGTCTATACTGATATATGTACCGGAATAAAATGCTGCATCAAACGCGGGCGCGAGCCTGCATGAGACGCAACTGGCGCTCCTCCTCGTCGCCGTGGCCGCCGGGATAGCCTGGTCGGTGGTGAAGGAGATCCATCGGATTAAAATATGACGAGCTGCGGTTGGCGCTGCGAACATGAGCTTGCTGAGGCGACTGAGGAGCCGGGATCGCCACATCCTCGGCTATCACCGCCTGATAGTCCGGCAACCCCGAATCGTGTGGGCGCACAGAAGTGCGGACCGCTGTGGAATAACTTGGGACACGGCTCAGGGGTCTCCACTTCCGCGTATTGCGGGTGGAAGGGGGTAGCCATGCCGGACGGGACATGGTCATGATCCACCTCGTCGGATGGCCGTCGGGAAAGCTCCGGGCTGGTCAGGCTGTGGGTATTAGAGCCGGATGAGGGACCGAAATAATCGGTCGGAACGCCCAGGCGGCTTTCCAGCTGGTTTTCGCTCTCGGATGGGGATGGATTACTATGGCGGCTGGCATGGAGATTCGACAAACGGCTATGCAATGCGGAGGCGGAGATATCGGTGGTGGTCAAAGCGTTCATGGAAGCAAGATTCTCGGCGGAGAGATTACGACTGAGAGTGCCGAATGGCGTACCCGGTCCGCTGCCGGGACCCGGAGTTCGGTAACCGGCCGGGTCCAATTCGCTGTACAGTTGATCGAACTGGTGTTCGCCATAGAGCGGAGGAGCCTGCTGCGCAAGGTCGTCGACTGCTCTCTGGGCAGTCTGGGGGGTTTGGTCGACCAGGTTGTTGTTGTCGTCGATCGCGAGATTAGGGGAGATGAAGATGGAGACAGGGAGGGTGGCTCGCAGCTGCTGTCCGTTAGTATTTCCATCGATGAAAAGAAATCATGCCATGCGCACCTCGCTGATATGACCGTCGGGGTTCAGGAGTTGGACCCGGAATTTCAACTTATGCCGGATCTTGATGCCCTTAGTATCGGTATCTTGTAGACAACGGGTCAAGGTCTTTGGGAGGTCGAGGAATCGCGAGAACTGGTATCCTTCTGCAGCCTCGTCAATGATTTCCAACGCATTGTCTGCGTCGAGCTCATATTCGTCGTTGATGATGGTCCTCGTGTTCTTGTACGTGTTGCGGATGGAATCCGGGTCCTCGGGGTTCAAAGTGAGATCGTGGCTCTCAATCAGTTGGGAGACAATCTGTCCGATTTTGAGGCCCTTCAAAAGGGGGATGAGCTTGAAATCGACGCGGATGCTGGTTCCGAAGATGACGGCTTTGGTCGGGGTGCTAATCGAGTACTCGATCTTGTTGGGCCAGATGTTCTCAACGGACTGCAGATAGGTGAGCAACGATGCCAGCAGATGGGTGAACACATAAAATCCTTACCATGGCATGAGAGAGTTCCAGCGCACTGGGCTCCAGGGTCCGAATAATGCGCAACGGTCTCCGAACAACAATATCCTTTGCATATTTGCGGCCGATTTCAGCCTTGAAGCGGTAGGTGACGTAGGTGTCGCTGAGGCCTTCGACACTCTCGGGCATCGACCCTTCGAGGACGATGTTGAAAGGGTACTCATAGTTGCCGGCAGGGAGGATCTCGGTCTTTCCCTTGCCGGGTTCTCTGAATCGCCATGTCTTCTCGTAGAATACGCGCTCTCTCCAGGACTTTCTACCGCCTCCGGCGGAGCTACTCGGGAGGTGCCAACTATTGACGCGGGTTAGTCGTCGGTTTCCTCGGCCATCCTCCATGGTGGTTCGCAAGGGAATACTCACCACACGCGCGAAATGCCGGTCAGGTGAAGCCGGATATGCTTGATGGAGAGCGGTTCCGACAGACAAAGGATCAGCTTCCCGCTCAGATGGGCGCTAGCGGCCTCTTGTTCTCCCCCTCGAAAAACAATGTAATCCTCATCGAGGCTGGTATCGCATATTAGTGACCGAATTCTTTAATTTGACACGAAATGCAAGGGATTGAACGCACCGAATGTCGAAATACTTTGCGTGACTTGCACTCCCTCCGCCACCAAAGAAACTGAGGGCCATGGCGGATCAACCAATAGCCGCAGAGACGGGCGACAGGCGCGATAAGACGGAATGATGGCGCCGAGAGCGGAAGGTTGCACGGCAGCGGTCGGGTGGGCGATAGAATGGGCGAGGATGGTCTTAACGGAAAAAGCAATAAATAGAAGAAGAGGAAGAGGAAGAGGAAGAAGAAAAGGGAGAGGGAAAATATGACAGATATGGATGGATTTTTCTGGTGCAAACGCAATGAATAATTGGAACCGGCCACCGATCTACCGGTGACTGTCCAGACTTGCAGGGTCGACGAGTACCAGGTATGGGGCCCACCAGGCTAAAAAAGAAAATGAAAAAGATAAGTATTATTATGAAATAAGAAGAGAGTGGGGGGCAGCAGCCGTTTCCGTCACCCCCTTCTTCCTCTTGTCTTGGGTACACCAAGTACGTACGTAAGATTGGGAGTTCCCTTGTGGCAAAGACAGGCGGAAGGTTGAAAGAACCGCCGATAACGCGAGCTTGTTCTTAGGGTTCCACACAACACTGGCACACAGTCAGTCAGATAGTATGGAGTAGAAGAAACCCAGAGAAGAGAGATAGAAAGAGGGGGAAACGAGAACGGGCTGAGGGAATGCGACTAATCATCCTAGTCACGCAACAGGGCGCTGGATGAATTCTCTCCATGCGATCATGCATTGATTCAGGCGAACAATACGTTACGTCACATACATACCGGAGATTTCCCACGAACACCGCAGAGATCCAGAGATCGGAGTCAATCCAAGGTCGGTCGTCGGTAAGGTTTGATAGATGGTTGTAAAGAACAGAAAAATAGGATACTGCTATCACGGAGACAATCCACCAGAGCAGCAATCTCCCATCGATTCTCGGCCTTGGGATCGCCGGGTTTTGTATCTTCAGTCTCCTCGTAAGATGATCGGCACTAGGCGGGCAGGCAGGCCGATTATCCGGTGGGCTTATCACAAGGGAGAAGACTTCTGGAATCGTTTGATTTCCACGGGTGATTTCCCTCCTATAAGAATTCCCGTGTACCTCGGGATCATTTCCATCCCATGATTCCTACAGATGCATACAAATAACGCAGGCCACATAATGCTCTCCCATCCTTCTTCAGCTGATTCTGCAGAGTGACACCCTTAATGATGCAGGTCGATAATATTCGTCACCATGTACCCTGCCCCACAACAGGTTGATCGACCTCCCTCCATGCATGCATGCATCCCTATCCACGTATCTCTGAGGTCCTCGCATTCGACAATCTGTGCTTGTTGAGTTGCGTCGCATGTTTCAAGCTCTAATCAACCCGAGGAGCACGATGGCATGACATGGGTACCAGAGTACCTCTTGCTCTAGATGTTGTGATAAGAGTTTCACCCAAGGAACAGAAGTACCAGGTACCTCTCCCTACTCCGGAGTACATCCTACCTAACCACCACGATCCATCCTATAAGAAATTAGTATCAGGCCTCGCCTCACACCCTTGGCCCACCTGTAGGTGACATCCAATTCACTATTCTGTTTCAACCATGCTCTAGTTATAATCATGACACCAGGTATAAGACAGGACACAAATCCCTCACCGCAAGTATGTCCTTGAACTTATTCGTGTCAATATATCTACCTGATGGGACCCACAAAGGTCGCCCGAGCTCAGTCTTGTCGATCTGACATAGGTACGATATGGCAAGAACCAACCCATGTGTCTCGCCATGCCATGACACGCATATGTATGCAGAAGCCCGTCATCCCCAACATAATCAAATACGAGGGTATAACGAGAGGGGTACCTATGTCTTGTCGAATCGACGAATCTCTACTTCAAAACATACAGCGTTCGATAGTTACTATCCAAGCTACCTAGGTACTAGGTAGGTACCAAATAAGGTAGTGTAATACAGCATACGCAGTGATGCAGATCAAGGACTCGGGCGCGCTCGGAGACGCAATGCATGTGATCGGGGAAACCCGCACGTTGTCCGGATGGCGCAACCTGACATCGAACCCTGACCGATTTACCTGGCCCTTGTGCGACCTCGGCTGGCTGAACAAAGGCATTGTCACATCAATTGCAGTCGTGATTCATCTTTTGTATTGATGACGTGCATGCCACGCGTGCTCGGTCCTCCACAGCCTAGAACACTGCAACGCTCGTCCTGACGCAACGCATGATATCACTGTCGCGCAAATAAATAGAACAAACAGAGTTTTCTTGCGGAAATCAGTCAAACTACATCTAGAGCTGTCGTCTACGACTTAATGTTTCCGCAGGGGCCGAACCAAGGAAGCTGTCGAGCCTCCGGTGTAGATCATAGCGCTAGTTATAATGGTGAGCCTAGATTCCAGATCAACAGAACAAATGGCGGACTCTGCTCCGAGCCAACAATTGCAGGCGGTGGGTCATTAAGTCCTCGGGTCTTTGCAGCTGCAGCTTCCACGGTAGTCTCATGTCGACATCTTCAGTTATCTGGTGTCAGACCTTCACCTGGTACGATGAGCTGGTCGGTGCGATAAACCAGACGCAGATCGTTCTAGATTGCGCCCTTGTATGTTTCAGCATACGCACCCTCCCAACGCTAGAGCAAAAGTCTGAAAGCGGTAACACGCATCGCCATCCGAACCGCCCAGACGCGGATACCGATAAGACGGTGGCCACGGAATGCCGACGCTTTGTCGTCGGCATGCCGAATAAGGCGCAGTGAGAAAAATTTCGAAACTCGGTGTCTCCATTCGGCATAGCCATCCGGGTGGCACAGACGTCTCGCCGACCTTATCAGGGCTCCAGGATGGCGCCATGGAGCCATGGACGGTCTGGCTTGAAACCGTAGCTAACCAGTACGGAGTACTATAGGCTATGCTATCTCTAGGACGGGATCCCAGTAGTCTACAGGGACTAGTTTTACCCACTGAGTGCCCGATGGGGCTACCCGTCTCCCTTGGATATCCACAACCCGGATATTTTGTACCTGACTATCATACCCTGAAAATTCTGCTTATCGCAGCGGGCCTGATGGCGTTTCCGGAGCGGACTCAGCCGCGAGGCCCACCAGATCGGCGGGAAAAAAAATCGGGAAAACTTGCCAGCATGCGCGCTAAAAGGGACTACTGTCCCTAGATACACCGGCGTCTTGAATGGGAAAATGTCTTTGCCGTCTCCCTATCATGCAACCAAGCCAATGAGCATGCGTGCTGATCACACATGGACAGAGTGTACCTGGCCGCTACGGAGTGACTAAAGTGCTGATGTTCAGTCAGAGTATTGTTTGCTTCTTTTACCCGCATATGCATCGGCACATCTCCGACCCAAGCACGATACTGGTCTGATAATGACGCGATGGCCATGTTGCGTTTCAGTCCAGCTTGATTCAATTGACAGGGATATTCTGATGGGTTGGGGCAGTCTATAATCATAGATCTACATTGTACCTGGTCAAGGACACAGATTACTCCGTACATGCTGGGTCATAACTACTCTCATCCAACACTACTGTACAGACGATCTGAAGACGGACGCAACTATCAGAAGACCACACGTGATTAATGCCTGTGCAATTAAATATCAAGCAACACTCAACGCTCAGGATATCCTTCGGTCCCTCACCATGTCAAAAATCCCTCCCCCTTTCCAACAATCCAACCCCCTCAAACCACCCACACCCACACCACGCGCCGAATTTGCCTCCGAAGTCCGCCCCAACCAATCATCCCCGTCTCCCTCCCAACCTGGCGCTGTGGGTGCTGTCCTGTATCTCGCGCGGAGGGGTTGACGGGGCCGCGGGCTGTCGTGGGTGGTTGCCATTTGCGAGGCAGGCTGAGGGCGACGGGCACTGGGTTAAAGAGCCGGAGGGGTTCTGCAATATCCTGCGGTTTCTGGAGGTGTAGCGGGCAGACGTAGTATCAAGCACCCCTGTAATGTGGATTATACCAGTGAACGACGTACACAACCCTTCTTGCCATCAGCCCTTATATGCATCTCGCCAAACACCGCAACGCACCTTCTCGCCTCGCCCACGAGCGTCTACGCCCAATTATATCACGTAAGTAACAAGCACGTGCAGTAGCAATCGCAGCGCGGCAACTCTTCAGCTGGAACATCCCGCCCCTCAATAGAAAAAAATACAGCAGGACAGTCTCAACCAGCAAGACCACCCACCCAATAAGTAAAATATTATCAGTAAAACCAACTCCAGGCGCTCCGCAGACTCCACCCGATCACATCTGTCTAGAATATCCACCCGAGGATAAACCAAATCGCCAGCCCCGCGCAGATGCAAATACCAGCGACTTTCATGACGGCCACGGTGTCGCCTTGTCGGGCCATGCGGGTGAGCCGGCTCGCGCTGCCCTTCAAGCTCGTGGAGAGGGACGAAAAGACCTGGGACTGCGTGATAGTTAGCTCCGGGCTCGAGATCTCCAAGGACGTGTCCGCGGACGACAAAGGGCTAGACCGGAGCGGGCGGGAGGAGGCAAACGCACCGACTGGTCCAGGGTCTCTTGGTCGCGGGCATTGTCGTAGATGTCGACTGTGACGGATTTCAGGGCGGAGACTTTGCTCGATAAGGAGTTGAGGAGGGCGTTGTTCTGTCTGAGGCTTTCGGTCAGCATGGGATCTCCATCGGCGATAGCCAGACTTCATCCTGGGGCCATCGCAAATGCCAGCCTTGAGGGCGGAAGAATAGGAGAAACGTACTGCTCACGTTCGTAGGCGTCACCCATCTTGTCGGAGGCGGGTTGATGACGACGGTTGCTCTGTATTTCACTCGGATTTTGAACTAACTCTTCGATGTCGGCTGAGAATAAAATCCCCTGTGGGTACGTATTTCCGCGAGGTTGGCTGTCTGCAATGGTGGAGTTCCTGGGAAGTGCGAGGAAAGGCCGTCATGACGGCAGCGGGCTGTGGGGAGGCGATCATCACGTGATTGAGCCTCGGCGTCTGATGTTATTTTTGGCACCTTCGGATATGCAATGCGCAATCGCTTTGAGATAAAGATCATTCATTAAGTTGAACTTCGACTTCGAAATTGAATCCTCGAAATTCTATACTGCATTCCATCCTCCAGCCAAACGCCGGCAATAACCCGATGTATCACCAGCTTTGGGCCACAAACAATTTGATACTACATACTAGAAGAAGGTTCGAGATCAGAACGAAAAGGCATGACCTCTTCAAATCTCAAATGCAATTCAAAGGTGTCAAGGAGCACAACGGGGGCAACAAAGCGTTAACACAGACTTGAAGTGAAATAAATCGATAACCCCAGGCGCTATGCGAACAAATGAACCCAAATCAACAAGCAAGGCAATGAGTCGTAGCATGCACTACCCTATTAGCATAGAGTATCCAAAGGGGTGCTATATAATAATGAGACAAACAGCATGCGAGAAATATAGAGATCCCCCATGTTGACCTTACGCTCTTCCCTTGGAGCAGGAGAGAATAGGCCTGTTGCTCACATTAACGGCATAAAAGGGAACAAAAGAAGGGTCGGCAAAAGAGGATCATTGTACAAAGCCATGAGAGAACTGAGCTCACAAAACAGGGGTATTCGTGCGCTGAAGAAGAAGCAAGAGCAGTAAGAGGAAGAACACTCCTGTTCCCTGTCACCACATATCGTCATCGTCGTCATCTAGCTGGCCGTCATCATGGTATGTGGAATTCCCATATTGATATTGCCCTGTGCCATAGACGTTGCCATTTTCATAACCGTGTTTGCTGCCGCGCGATTGCGGCCGGTAATGATCATGGGGATCGTCATTATACTCATACATCTGCGAATCGTCGTAGGAGTTGTCATTGTATTGATCCTGCGACTAAAACGGAACTGGTTAGCTGACATCAGAGAGGGGATCGGCGCGGCCGCGTCTCACCTCTTGATAACGTTGGTACTGGGAATATTCATCGGGTTGATCCCGCTTCTGGTGCCGTTGCGCCGCCGATGAAGCCAACATTAAAGGATGCATCTGCTGTACCTTGGCCAGGTACGAGTACATGAAGTTGCTCAGTAGCACCTGTGAATACAGGGCTCGCCGAGGATTCGCAAGCTTTATATGAGCCATTCTATAGATTGCTCTCTCCTCCAGAATGGAAAACCGTGTCCAAGGATAATCGATATCCGGTTTGAGCTCCCGCACGGGTGGGTCAGGCGACAGTGTCCGAGAGGAGCTTTTCTTGTGATGGCTCTCTCCGCTCTTCTTCCGGCCTCCCCCAAAGAGCGAGGAAAACAAACCGGATTCCTTTTCCTTCTTAGAGTCGCCTGAGGTTCGCCGGACGTGATCTTTCCGGCGCTCCTCCTCCAACTTGGGGTCAAGTCGATCGAAGGTCGAGCTTTCACGTCCACGCGGATTGTGATCACCAGAGGATGGAAGAACATTGGCCGTTTCGTGAACCTTGTCGACGATCTTGGCTTTGATCTTCTTCGCATCACCATCCTTGTCTTTTTTCTTTTCCTTGTCCTTCTCTTCGGAGCCCAGTAACCAGTGCCAGCTTGACTTACGGCCTCCCTCTGAGTCTTTTTTATCTTTCGACTTCTTCGTCTCTGCCTTGCGTTCTTCTGGCTTTCGCTCTTCTGGAAGCGTAGGGATAAACGAGAGGCTATCCGTGCGGGTGGTGTTTCCTGGGAGAGGCTGCGGGCTACTTGCGAAATCACTGAGGGTAGACGTAGTGTCTTTTGCGTGTCCCCGGCCATGCAATACACGTTTGTTCGAGCTGTGGTCGTGATTATGCGATGCCTTTGCAGGTAAGGTCGTGGACTGGTCATTGGTTGACCCACGCCCGGCAACTGAGCTGCCTGGTACACTAGAGCTGAGAGACGGGTTATAGGATTCAGAGGGAGGCGTTTCAATAATCTCTGGGATTTTTTGTTCCGCTGCGGGCGTGTTTAACGTTGATCTTCCGTTGGAGCTTATCCGGGAATGCCATTGTCGCGTCTGTGGTGGAGCGCTTGTCCGATCCCCCGGCCCTCCGGAAGACGAGTCATCTGATCTCTCAGGACTAGAGTGTGGATGCTGCGAAGGCGTATCGCGGGCGGTATTAGGGCCGTCCTCAGGAGTGGCAGGTTGAGTGGCGTCTACTGCCGCTTGAGCTCGTGTCCGACTGGGAGTAGGATCGGTGGACACGCGGGTTAAGCCGAGAATAGGCTGTTCTCCGGCGGGAAGAGCGGGCGCTATGCCTCCGTTCGTCTCTGATGTTCTTGCAATGCGCTTGGAATAAGGGAGTTTATCCCCCTTCTTCAGACTTCCAGCTTTCCGGTATTGTGTTCTCGTTGACCGCCTGAGACTGTTGCCAGGAGGGGCCGGGGGGAGGATCGGTATATCGTCGTCCGCGGATAGGCTGAGGTTTTGGATACCTTCCAACAAGGAAGAGGCGCTGGGGGTGCGTCCTTTCTTCGAGTGATCGACCAAATCCTCCAGTTGTTGCAGATTGGGGCTTTGTGACCCCTGTTTTGCCTCCGACCGCTTCCTTTCTAACCGTTCAGCACCATCTTTATAGCCATGGGAATTGTCGATTTGCTTTGATAGCATGGATCGTTTCCGTCTCAGGCCAGCATTCGATCCTTGGCGTTCCGGACTGAGGGAGGAGAAATCACCAGATTTCCGCTTGATGTGGTCTGCCTTGCTTTCGAGGAAGGACTTGAATTCTTTGGGGGCTAGCTCCGGATGTAAGCGCGCAGGGACCCAAAACAATCGGGAGGTATCATTCTCGTCGGCGGAGGGAGAGGACGGCACTGGAAAGTTCGAACTATAGCTGGGAAGATCGGGATCCCCCGTTGCTGCAACATCCATAGACATCCGTCGGATAGCCGCTAAGTTGTTCAATTCTTGTGCCACGGCTGCGGGATCGGACTCATAGTCGATATCGTTCAGGGGGAAAGACGTGGTGGCCGTATCAGCTGACCCGGGCGAAGGGAGAGTGTTAGGAGAGGTCGGACTGTTTTTGCCCGAGCTGGGCCGGGACTGTCCGTTTGTCTGTCGGTCATGGTTGTGATTCTGGACCCGTAACGACTGCGTGGTGGATGGGGACTCAACGCCGGCATGGCTCGGAGGGATGATCGAGATGGTTTCGGCAGAGGGCGACGATATGTAACTCAGGCGCTGAGAGCTTCGTTTGTCATAGTCATCTTCGTACATGTGGCCAATCGCTTCGGTGACATGGTGACTGGGGTCACTTATTGACAGTTGAGGCGCATGGCCTCTGCGTGTCGCGTATCCTCCGCTAGCCTCAGAGGGCCTCGGTGAAGTCTGGAGGGAAGAGGAATCGCGTTAGATGGGGGTTCTCCTTAAGGTAGACCGCCACGGCCGTCTGGCAAGTTGGCTGGGTATGGTCTGGTCTGGGGACGAAACAAAAGGAATCCGGTTGGGTAGAGAAGGGTTTATCGATAATCAACGAACGCACCTGCATGAGAGCAACCTAACCGGGAACCTTAAAAGGGCGATGTCCCAAACTGGGCTGAGGGCCAAAGGGCGACCGGAGTCTTGCCTCGTGGGGAGGTCACTGTACCACCTTGGCGGGAAAAGTTGGAAGCAAAAAGGTGGTCATGGAATCATGGACGCGGGGAGAATAGAAGCGCTAACGGGGAGAGAAAACCGCCAGGGTAGTGAAGAACAAGGAAGGCCGAAAGTGAGGATGATGCATTCGGCGACTCAGCAGCGTTCGTTTGACGTCGGTACCTGAGAAGGTGAGAAGGATTGGGTGGTCGTGGGGACGAATCGCGAACCACGGGAGGAGGGGAGGAGAGAAGAGGGGAGAAGATTATTGACGGAAAGACGGGTAGAAAGAGGTGAAGAAGAGTCCCAAGCACAAAGAGGAATTTAAGAAGAGCCAAAGAACGAGAGGAAGAAAGAGAAGAGGCTGACGATGCAGCAGTCTAGGCGGCAGGAAAGGTAAAAAAAAAGGCGGAGGAGGATGTTGCTGGCGGTGGTGGTAATCGTGGTGGTGGGCGTGTGGAGGACGGGACGATGAAGGAAACCGCCGTTCAAGGAGAGAGAGAGCGTAAGAGGGCCAGAGACGCAGCGGGTCCGTTTTGGTTGGCTGGGTCAGACGGTGTTGGTCCTATAATGAGGGTGGTCTACTGAGTGACCCAGATATAAGTAGGTACGATCAGACGATGACTCTGAAGCACTTGTGATCGAAAGAAGGAGAATACTCCAGCTCCCTTCTGCACATGAGTCTTATCATCTGCCTGGATACAGACTTGTTGTACGTACTGTCCTGAACAATGCCCCGAACGTCCCCAGGCACACTGTCAACCAAGGCGGCTTAGTCACCCCGGTCAGATCCACTCGGAGCCCGGATGGACGATCGGAAGTGGACTGGACGATCGCTGATCAACATCCCCCATACTCTTTAGCATGCTTTCTATTTCGGATTCGTCACTGTAGACGCCTAATCACGATCCAGCGTCAACCAGACGTGCTTCTCCAACCAAAAGGGAAGACCCTGGACGTCCAGATGCCAACCCCATCTACTCGCGCGGTCCTAAAAAGCGTACTAGGTCGCACTAAGCACTAGTCATGCAATGTTTATATCCACCTTTTCCACTCCATCGGAGATAACACCCAGAAATTATCATATAAAAAGAGACAAAAAAGGAAAATAATCAAGAAAAATATGACGAAACCAAAAGGCTCCTGTCCATCGGATCCAACTGCCGTCTCCCACAACTCCCATCCCATGATCACTCCGTCTACTCTGTCCTCTCGGTCCTCTATCGGGCGTTCAATCTCCATCGCCATCCTGACCGCCTCCCCCGGTTCATGCCATGTCCCGTGCAGAGCGTCCCCTCCTTCATGCAAGGGAATCAGCAGGTAGGTGGCGGAGAAGCTGTCGCAGAGTTTCAAAATTTCGTCACAGCTGTCGCTTTAGCTTCTCATCGCGGCGTCTGCACAGGAAAGCTGTAACATTCTCCGCTTAGGGTCCTCCTTATCAGATGATATCCATGTACCTAGGTATTAGGTACCTAGTAGGTAGTCTTCTCCGGTAACCCAGCTACATACGTAATAATAGGATAAGCAAAGACCTGCCTAATCGTCAGAATCGTCATCACGGCTATACAGTGAGGTACAACCTTTCCGAGCATCTGATTCGACAGGCCTTCACGGTCAGTCAATGCTAGCTTACCCTCATCCTTTTCCCGTGGGAATGAATCGAGCTTAGCTAGCAATTAACATGTACGAGAAGACCATCTGTGCAGTCATATCGAGAGTCCAGTTGTCCTTCCAGACAAGATCTCCGCATCCGAGCAGCCGCTTTCCTCGGTTAATGGAAGAAATGGATATATTGTGATCGTTCTAACTCGATCCCATACGACGCAGCTGTAGATAGCGGGCCATAAAGTTCTATAGATGGACGTCATAAGTAAGAAATGAGGGAAATAGATTAACACTCAGTTCATTAAATTACAAAGCAATGCATAAGATTTGAGAGAACCTGGGTCATACAGTTCAACCTGTGACTCCTCACGTATATCGCATCTTACCTCTCTACTGACTCCCTTCTCCTACACACCTCCTAATCAATCTAGACATATAAAACTCTCTACCACAGCAATCCCAAGCCACAGACATTGACAGCAATCCACCCCGCATTAACACATGCAGAAACATGTTGCTCCGCTGCAGCTATGCGTAGAGTTAGTCCCCCAGGACCAGTCATCATCCCTTGTTTCCGTGGCCGCGGGAGGCAGGATCAGGGTAGAACATCTCTGGAATGCTGTTGCATCATTCCTTTCTCGCCTATTCAGCACTCGAACTGTCTCGTGCCCATCTCCAAGAGACCTTATTGGCCCGGTCAGAAAGAATGCGTCTGGTGAGTTCGGAGGGTCTACCCTCCAATGATAAGCAGCAAAGGATAGAGCTGAAGTATTGAAGGAACCCTTGTACCTAGGTAAGCACTTCTTTAGCGCAGGGCTTTCCTAAGATGCCATTACATGGCGGGAGGAGACTAAGCCACTATCAAGCATCTCTGGCCCACCAAGCTGAGTACCGTAACTGCATTCGAACCACGTTCATGACCGTAAGTCAGATGACAGGAGATATTCTAGAAGGTGTTTCATCCTTGTCCATATGAAACACTACCAGCTATTCATCATTGATTGAATCGGCTCTGTAGGAAGAATGAACAAGCTGAAATTGATGCAGCCCAAACAAGACTGAGTGGTTCTAACATCCAATTCCTGAAATCCAACGAGGAAGATGAGGAAATCCGACGAATGCCAAAGACAACACACAACAATCAGATGATAAAGTCGCAAGTCAAAGAGGAGAGGAGTGAGTGTTAGTGAAGAGATAGCCTGCACTAGGGCTACCCCACACGAAGTACAACGGTGTTCTGATATGTCCTATTGCTTCCATTCCGGATGCGCTAACCCAGCGAAGCCAACTCCGGCGCTCATACAAAATCCCGGAAGTAACAAGGTATACAGCGTCCCAGCTTAAGGTATCCAGTCGATCGCACACTGCGGAGAAATGATTCTAGAAACAAAACAAGAAATTGTCGTTAAATGTCGTCTCGCATGAGCCAGGGAGTGGCGCCAACGTTTACGAAGCGTCGACATAGTTGCTAATCGCAACAAGTTAGCTTCCACCGACAACTTGGCAGTTAGAAGACTTACCTCGGGAAGATACCAACTCTGTCGCCAATGCGCCCAGTCCACCAGTCCTCTGCCTTATCCGTACGCTTGAGAATCGTGATGATGTCGCCCTTCTTGAATCCCAGGTCTCCTTCCTGGTCCGCATCAAAGGTGTATAGAGCGATTGCCTGGTCTTGACGCAGCGATGCAGCTCCGCCCGTCCGCTGGCCGAAGACGGGCTTAGGCGCTGTGGGTCGGGATGGCTTGCGATCTGAGTACACATAGTCGTCATCATAGGGCGCAGTGTTGCTCCGACTGCGGGTGGTAAAGCTGTCGAAGTTGTCGTTGCGACCATAACGGGTGGTGGCGGAGCGGCCAAGGTTCCCAGCCGGCCGGTCGTAGACATCGTCAGCCCACGTGTTCGCACGACGCGGACGATCGCGATACTCATAGTCATCGCTGCTATCGTTAAAACCGGTGCGTTCGCGCCGCATTCCCTCTCCATATGCCTCTCCCCGACGTCCCTCCCATACAACATCATCGTGACGGTCGTCGTAGATAGGGATGTCATTGTACATGGAGTCACCCTGCATCCTGGCATTGCCGTAGAAGGCGCGGGAGGTCAACACCCGCATAAGGGGCTCTGCGGCAGGGGGAGGCCGGATTGTACCGCTCAGCAACTGACGGGCTGATACGCGGCTGTTGTAAAGCTTTTCGTTTGCGTCTTTACGTTCAACCAACATACTTCCCTCCAAACTAACACCCGCGAAGAGTCCCTTCGTCTTGGAGTATGAAAACACGGCAGCGACACCTTTGGTGCTTGCAGCACCGGCAGCCTCGGCATTGCGCCCAACAGGTCCAGCAGCAATGGAAACGTTACCACCCAATGTGAGGGTTCCTACTTGCGAGAAGGTCCGTACGGCAGCCGCATCGTTGAGAATGAAGACGAAGTCGGTCAACTCGAACCCAATCTGACCTCCGAACCCAGCTCCTGCCGTGGCAATCGCCGATGGAGCGGACCACGTTCCATCAGCTAGACGGGCGACGACGATTCCGGAACCAAAACGAGCCGATCCCAAAAAGCCAGCTTTGAGAACGGTGAGGACAGCAAGACCCTAAGTGATGAGCCAATCGGTGAGCTATCGCCGGAAGTGAGGACGGGTGTTGGGGGATTCCTACTTTTGCACCGGCGAGAATCTCAGGAGGAATGACCTTGTCGGGACCAAAGGCTTGTCGTGGATCAACAAAGGACGCGAGAATTTTACCAGCCTTTCTACACTCGCCTGTTGACGGGAAACCGGGTCAGCGCGGAACTTCACGCAAACATCCCCCCCTCTCGAGAAATTGCGGGGAAACGGGGGAGGTAAGCGGCAAGAGACTTACTTCCTAGAGACGAGGGTAAGGGATTGTGAATCCCGAGAGGCATCTTGCGTGAGCTCGCTGGAACCTAGAAGGAGAGGATGACAGGAGAGTGAGTATGGGGAAGGGAGGAGAAGAGAAGAAGAGAAGGTTCGATAAGGATCTGAGGTTCTGCGACGGGAGTTCGTGCAGACAGATTGGGGGGGCGACCGGATGTGGACCTGACTAAAGGTTAGTTAGTTTGGTCGTAGAAGGTGACAAGCAAGGACTTCGTGGCCTGACCGCGTTTGGACCGCAACGTGGTCAAAGGTAGCAATGTTACTTGGGGAAGAGATACTGTCTAGTTAGGAGATCAGTCTTGCATATGATATGAAGTTGAAGAATAATATATATTGCTCGCCAGCTGGCGGGTGGAAGTGAATGTCTGGCTGGAGGCCGGAAGTGGCTGAGCCCGTTTGATGACGGAACAATGGACTTTGTTGGTCACCTCGAGGTCTTGGTGCGCATTGGCGTTCGGATTTGGGAGTATCGCAAATCATTTGTGCGAATAGCATAAATTTGAATGTATACATATTACTGGTCTTATAATTCAAAGTATACTCAGTAGTGGTTTTCCATCATACTCCGTTACTGCACACAGTCTCGACACCTGAGGCTTCATCGGCTCAGCCACCGCCGACTTCCCGAACGATCGTCACACCGCGGCTGTTGTTCCTGGCGACAACGCTCTTTCTCCATGGATAATTGATCGATTCATCAGCGTCGCTCCGGTTGACAATCCGGCGAGGTATGTATTGGACAATGATTTAAACGGGGCGTGTACAGTCGCCTTTCTTCATTCCAAATGGCTACAGGTGCGATGGGATAGATAACCTGCCTTACCTCCGACCTCCGCTAACGGTGTGTCCAGTCCGAATCTGCGTTTGTGGAGATGAGGGCACTGGAAAGTCCAGCCTCATTACCTCCCTGGTGAAGGGTGTGTTTGTCACCCACAAGATTCAACCCGTTCTACCTCAGATCACCATCCCTCCCACGATCGGAACCCCTGAAAATGTCACTACGACGACCGTGGTCGATACCTCCGCACTGCCACAGGAGAGAAACAATCTTGCCCGAGAGATTCGAAAATCCAACGTGATCTTACTCGTATACTCCGATCACTACAGCTATGAACGTGTCGCGCTCTTTTGGTTGCCCCATTTTCGCTCTCTGGGGGTCAATGTCCCTGTGGTGCTGTGCGCCAACAAGTCGGATCTGGCTGCGGACCACAGCGAAGCGCAAGTTATCGAGGAGGAGATGCTGCCGTTGATGGCTGAGTTCAAAGAGATTGACTCGTGTATTCGGACCAGCGCTCGTGAACATCGAAACGTCAACGAGGCATTCTTCCTTTGCCAGAAAGCGGTCACCCACCCGATCGCACCGCTATTCGATTCAAAGGAATCATCACTGAAGCCGGCGGCCATCGCAGCTCTACAGCGTATCTTCTACCTCAGTGATAAAGACCGAGACGGCTATCTGTCGGACAAGGAGATCAAAGAATTTCAAATGCGTTGTTTCGAGAAGCCTCTGAGCGAGGAAGACCTGGTTCACATCAAGGAGACTATTCAGAAGGCTCATCCAGCTTCCGTCACACCGTCCGGTATTGATTGCCGTGGATTTATTCATCTCAACAGGATGTACGCGGAGAAGGGCCGACATGAGACGGTTTGGATCATACTCCGCGCGTTCCAGTACACGGATAATCTTTCCTTACAGGAAAGCTTCCTGCATCCGAAGTTCGAGGTACCGCCCTACGCGTCGGCTGAATTATCTCCGGAAGGCTATCGGTTCTTTGTCAACCTCTTCCTCTTATCGGACAAGGACAATGATGGCGGGTTGAACGAAGCGGAATTGGCATCATTGTTTGCACCAACACCTGGTCTCCCCGCTTCGTGGGCGGATGGCTCATTTCCGTCCTGTACCGTTCGGAATGAAGCCGGACATGTCACCTTGCAGGGGTGGCTCGCACAATGGAGCATGACCACGTTCACTTCACCTAAGACGACCTTGGAATATCTGGCCTATCTTGGCTTTGAATCATCCGACCGAAGCAATCCCTCCACAACGGCGGCATTGAAGGTCACTCGACCTCGCAAGCGACGAAGACGTCCGGGACGTGTTGGCCGTAACGTTGTTCTTGGCCACGTTCTTGGTGCCCCCGGTTCGGGCAAGTCAACACTTCTCGATGCCTTCCTGTCACGTGGCTTCAGCACCACTTATCATCCCACGATCCAACCCCGGACCGCGGTCAACACAGTGGAGCTCCCTGGAGGTAAACAATGTTACCTCATTTTAGATGAACTGGGTGAACTGGAACCGGCTATCCTTGAAAATCAGGCGAAGCTCCTGGACCAGTGCGATGTGATTATCTACACTTATGATTCGTCCGACCCGGATTCTTTTTCCTATATTACCAGTCTTCGCGACAAGTACCCCCATCTGGAGGAGCTGCCTAGTGTATTTGTTGCGCTGAAGGCCGACTTGGACCGCACCACACAGCGGGCGGAGTATCAACCTCATGAATATACGGCCATGCTGAACATGCCGAGTCCACCCCTCCACGTGAGCGCGACCTGGAGCTCGATTCAGGAAGTCTTTGTGCACATCGCCGAAGCCGCCATGGAGCCCAGTACGGCTTTCCCACGGAGCGAGGAGGACGTGGAAGGTAAGTGGATGGCCTGGGGGATTGCACTGGGTGCGGTGGTGTGTGCGGGAGCTGCGGCGGTCATGATATGGCGCCGCGTCAGTGGGAGTGGGGTATAGCTGTATTCTTATATATTTTCGACCCGAAGCGTGATGGTTTCATGTTTGATAGAAGATAATGACATGAGCGATGCGTATAGCTCTGCTGCTCTAGCAAGTAGTTATGTAGTTGACTAACATTAATGTACTGCTGATGTAATCCCCTAGTAGTGTTAAGTAACTTTGGAGTTATGTACCAGGGAACCCCACGGTGAGTTAGATCCGCCGCCAGCACGCGAGGAAACCCAAAAGCCCGCCAACCCAACCCCGGAAATGCTCCTCTCTCCATCTAGGCGCCTGGGCCTCTGCCTCTTTCTCTCCCTCTCTCTGTCTCCCCGCTTCCTTCACACCCTCCATTGTACAGCTCTTATCCTTTGTACGGTCACGTCGTCTATTTAAGACACTGCAGAACCTCCATTACTTCAAACACCATATTCCCCTCCGATCGGGTATCGAAGGGATCGACAGTGATTGTGGTGTTGTTCCGTTTCCCCAACATCTGATTCCACGATACGGGTGTCACAACCGATCCAGTCCCTACTCAAGCCTTGGCTGCCCAGGATTGTATCACCTTCTATTCCCCAGGACTAAGGCATTTGACATACGTGTGGTTCTCTTATCTTGGTCCTCTCAGTCCGACCTTCCAGCACACCACGCCGACCCGAGTCGCACCACCACTGGTGCCGCTCGTGGGATCAGATCACTACGGTTCCTGCCTCCCTGACCTACCTTATCGGAGTTTGACCCTTCTGGTCCACTCGAACAATCACTGGTGGCCGTCTGTATTCGCTGATTTGTTGTCTCAGCTGCAACCATGTTGTAAGATACCCTCAGCCCTGAGCGATTTATCAACGGCCTATAATGATCCCCTATCGGTCTCCCCACATCACATCTGGAGGCACCTGTTCGCGAGCACGGATGCCCGCTTTCCCGTTCATCCCCAGGCGCACTTGTGCTTTATCGTCATAACCTCATGTCATACTGTGTGACTGCGACATTGTGCCCGCTAACTTCCAACCCAGTGTCCTACCCCCGCCGCCGCCCCGCTACACCATCCCAGTAGCCTACGCCGCTGGAGCGTCGAATGGCATGGCCGTTCCGGTAGTGGAAACTAACAATGTTATCACCAAACCGGAGGGCGGCTGTCCGCTACAAGTCGGTGAAGGTATGTTTAGTGTGTTGTGCATCGGCGCAGTTTCGTTGGAGATCTTGCTAACACCAAATGTCACGCCAGGAACGTATCATCTCCAGGACGATTTGCACTTAGCTACCCCTCCTCCGCATCCATCCGAGGCACCGATAATAAATCCCAACCCACTGGCGACGGTTCCTACCCCACCAACATCGGGCGTCAAGCTATCGTTGGTCAACATTGGCCCTCGGAATAAAAATCCCGTGTTCGCAATGAAGGAGAGCGTGTTAGCACCTCCATTTGGTGACGGGAACCCTGCACTCGCTGCTCCCGCTGTGAAAGACGGACTTAAGAGACGGAAACCGAAAAACAACATCATAAAAAGCAGCTCGTCATTCGTGTCCAGAGTCATTACGCACGAGGCTTCCACCAAGCGGCTCAATGACCGGAATCCGGAAGGCCTATTCGCATTCGCCAACATCAACCGCGCATTCCAGTGGCTGGATCTCGGCTCGAAACAGAAGGAGGAACCTCTCGCAAAGATTCTCTTTACCAAGGCCCATATGCTGAGCCATGATATCAACGAGCTGACCAAAAGTGCCTCACATATCGATGTGGTCATGGGTTCGTCGGCTGGTGACATTATCTGGTACGAACCTATCTCGCAAAAGTATGCCCGGATCAATAAGAACGGGGTCGTCTGCAACTCGCCGGTGACCCATATCAAATGGGTGCCTGGATCTGAGAACCTCTTTATGGCTGCGCATGCCAATGGTCAATTAGTAGTATATGATAAGGAGAAGGAGGACGCACTTTTTACTCCTGAAGAGCCGGTGAAATCTTCTGGCCAACAACCGCTTCAGGTCTTGAAATCGGTCAATTCCAGAAACCAGAAGACCAATCCAGTCGCCTTGTGGAAGCTAGCCAACCAAAAGATCACTCAGTTTGCCTTCTCCCCGGATCAAAGACATCTGGCTGTTGTCCTGGAAGATGGTTCCCTTCGAGTGATGGACTATCTAGAAGAAGAGTAGGACTGCCCCGTCTCAAGGCTACACGGTAACCAAATGGCGAGGCAATGATATGCTGACAGTTGCTCAGGGTTCTCGATATCTTCCGAAGCTACTACGGTGGATTGATTTGTGTCTGCTGGTCTCCTGATGGCAAATACATCGTGACCGGCGGCCAGGATGATCTAGTGACGATATGGTCCTTCCCAGAGCGAAAGATCGTCGCACGGTGCCAGGGCCATAACTCTTGGGTTTCCACTGTGGCTTTCGACCCGTGGCGGTGTGACGAGAGGACTTACCGATTCGGGAGCGTTGGGGATGACTGTAGACTATTGCTTTGGGACTTTAGCGTGGGAATGCTCCATCGGCCGAGAGCAGTAAGTCCCGTGCCCGTTTTTGCCAGTATGCAGAGATCATGTATGTGGAGAGCTGACGATAACCGAGCAGCACCAAGCAAGTACGCGCCAGCGGACGAGTATGATTACGTCCAACTCCCAGCACGCCAGTCGTCACCGAGCCGATAGCGCTGGCAATAGAGCAAGATCTGATTCTCAACGGACTGCAGACGGCTATGACGAATATGACCAGGCTGTTCGTCACCCCGTGGAACCTCGAGCACGGACTGCTCTACTTCCACCCATCATGGTAAGTCCTGCGCGTCATTTTTCGGCATTATGTAGCCTGTATCAGCTTTGGCCTTTTCGATTCTCTGGGCTATGCTGATTGTTGGACAGTCGAAGGAAATCGGCAGTGATCCCATCTGCTGGCTCGGGTTCCAGGAGGACTCGATCATGACTTCTTCCCTGGAAGGACACATCCGCACCTGGGATCGGCCACGAGAAGGCATCAATGACACCTACAATGCCCACGCCTCCTCTTCAGCGATCAGTGCTGGCGCCGGTTCAGGATCCGCTGTCGCGAATTCAGCCCGGGGCTCCCTGTAGCCTCTGCAAGCAATCAAGCCATCCCTTCTGTAAACTTCTGTACATTTGTCGCCACATATACCCATTTGAATATATAAGTTGTGCATCTTGCATATGTACAGCAGTGTTTGTGTCTGTGTGATATTTATAGCGTGGAGCAAATGCGATTGTGAAGATCGTTGGTGCCAGCCATCGGATTTGCAACTACTCATTCTCTTGTGATTATTGTTTATTATTGTCCGGATAGGAATACACTTCACCCTGTATATGACTTGTCATATAGACCTGTTTGCTGATTTCATAAGTTCGCGCTCTATGATCTACACGATCAGCCTGCAGAGTACACCGCAACATGGAACAGATGCATATATCAGACTGGTAGTAGGAGATAGGCCACTCGCCTTGCATAATCTATTGCCTCACCCGCAACCCTGCGCAACTCGGCTACGGGAACACGTTACGTTCGGAGTCCTTGAATGGGAATGACCCCTGCAAGGCCTCAAATCTCAAAAACTTCAAAATAATATATTAATCCCACTTTCATTAATGGATATGAAATTTGTACCTTGGACTTGGTTTTTCTTAAGTAGGTACTCAACCGAGCCAGCCAGGCGTATTGCCAGCCCGAAGCAATTATAGCATGAGAAAAAAAGAAGTAAAGAGAATTGAAGAGAAGTCAACTCGCGGACGGACTAGACCCATAACTAGTCATATCCCGCATTACACGATGAGAGCCAACAGGCCCATGGCGAGGGAGCCCGCTGCTGGGACAGCGAGTGACGCAGACCCGGCCGTCGAGCTGGTGGCCGCGGGGGCGGTTTCAGTCGCAGAGGCGCGAGCGGAAGTCGCTGCAGCAGAATCATGGCGTGTCAGTGATACAGGGCTCTCGGCACATCCGCGATAGGACTCACCCGTGCTTGTGGAGGCGGAGGGGACGGTGCTGGATGGTGGAGCAGAGGAGTAGTGCTTGACGCAGGGGCGGGCAGAGGGCTTGATAAGGCGAGAGCGGGAAGGTTGTGTGGCAGAGATGTAGGCAGTCTTGGTGATTGTGGTGGTGGTAGGAGAGTGGATAGAATCTCGCTTACTCGTCTTGGGGGGGTCGGCGACCCGCGTCACGTTGAACTGCTGCGACTGGGCCAGGATGCCGGTGTTGCGCTCCTCGTTGGAGATGATGTTGATCTGATAGCCCTCGCTGGTGATGATGCTGTCAGTTGGTTGTCTTGGGTGTTAGAGCGCGGAAGAGGGCTACGCACGCCACAGGGATGCCCCAGAGCTTGTCGACCTTGTAGTGGCCTTCGGAGGCCTTGACGCCGTCGGCGATCTGTTTGTTAACGTTGGGCTGGCCGTTCATGTTGACCAGCTCGAGGGTGATATTCTTCGGGTCGGATCTGGTCTGGTCAGTTGGGGTTTCTTATGCAGATGCGTTGGGGTTGGATGTCGACTGACTCGACGGATCTCCATTTGATATCTACAGGCTTGCTGAAGTCGACCTTGTCGCCCTGGGCGGGACTGGTCACGG